AATATGAAAATAATAGGATTGATTAAGGGTATTTGCTATCTGCTTGTGATCTGGGTATATTTACAGATGCTAGGGATAAACTCCCCTGGATAAAATCAATCTCGTTATTTCAATGCTCCTACAGTCTGTGTGGATCACAAGCTCAGGACACGGAGTGTAGGGGGACCCGGTATCTTGACACTCTCTGTATGTTGCAGAGGGCGAGTTGTCTAGTGATGGTCAATGTCTGGTACGTGTCATGCTGAAGACCTCAGGCTAGATTTAGCACTCTGTGTGAAACAGGTGTAACTATGGAGTTATCACATTTATGAGCATATAGACTGGAGATTATTTCCTGTCTCCTCCCCCCCGGCATGATATGGACCAATTTAAGGGTGAGTTGTAAACCTTAATTCTGAATTTCTGCAAAGATGATGAACCAAACACTGAGACTGGTACTGTAATTGGCAGAAAGATTTCTGCAAGTCTTCACCCACACCCACACAAACAAAAAGCCTTCGGGAAAGAGTCCAGTCCTAACCGTTAGATTGTGGAGGCTGTGAATTGGGACTGCTGGGCTCCTGTAGTGTGTGTCCTTTTAAAATAGCTGTGAACGTATTATTAGAAGCTGAAGAACACATATGGGTATGACTAATAATTGTGCTTACAGAATATACACAAATATGCCCGACCTAGCTACTCGTATGCTCCTGCTCGGACTGGCTTCCTGCAGCTTCTTAAATATAGCACACAGTGAGCACTACCGGAGGGCTCTCAAACCATTTAAAGGGATACTACCCTCCACTTCCAGTCCAGATGTGGACTGGGAACCATGGTGTAGTGGTTAGTGCAGGGACTCCTGGGTTCTGTCCCCGACTTGCTGTGTCACCTTACGTGAAGCAAAGTTTGCCTCTTCAATGTATGTGCACAGTTACAGGCAATCTCACTGGGAACTGCTCACACCTCAGAGGGGAAGAATCTGTCCCTCTGTGTTGGCTTCTCCACTTGTACAATAAGTGATGAGAGGTACAAGAAATAGTGCCCATCTTCATAAAGCACTTGGATCCAGCACAGTGGGGCCTGATGTGACCTGGGTGATACTGAAAGACAAAGATGTGAACAGCGCTAGATGAAAAGGAGCAGTGTTTGGCATTTTGCTTTTCTCATAATTCTAATAATCCCCAGCTCTCTTCATCCCTAGCTTTCAAGCGCTTTACAGGAGGCCAGTGTCCGTACCCGTATTTTACAGATTGGGGAAACTGAGGCACAGAACGGGGACATGACTTGTCGAAGGTCACCCAGAAGTTCCGGGGTCGAGCTGGGGGTACAACCCAGGTCTCAGCAATCCTGTTCCAATGCTCTTCCATGAGGCTACACTGCCTCCCAAAACACGTATTTGTATGGGATATCTCCACTGCTTGCACCCTCTGTGTATGTGCTTGCTTGTCCGTGTCTGGGGCACATCCTGATGACTACGGTGTCTTCCAGACTCGTGCAATCTCTCTACCCTTGTACGAAATGTATAAGCGACGCTGCTTGTGAAGTGATCCTGTGAAAACCTGTATACAGAGGGGTAAGGTGGCTTTAGGGCCTCACTGCCTGAGATTCCCCCTCCCACACTCCCTATGTTCCACCACAACAGCTAATACAACTTGTCTTGGTTGCTTTTAACAATTTTTGGGGAGGCAGGTGAGGATCCCAATTGGAAACATCTTAAAGGGGCCCAGATTGTTAAAGTACAGAGCACCTGCCTGAAATCACTGGTCACTCTGATGACTTAGGGCTGGTTGACACTAGGCTAGAAAATTTACATCAACTCAGCTGTGTCACTCAGGGGTGTGAAAAATCTAGCTATGCTGACCTAAGTCCCTGCGAAGATGGCGCTAGGTCAACAGAAGAATTCTTCCATCGACTTAGCTACTGCTTCTTGAGGACATGGACAGATTCTCCCATCAGAGTGGTGGCTTCCATATAGGGTCACACCTGGGGTCTCTTACACACCCCGAAGCCTTTTCCTATAAGCCTCAGATGTCAATTCAAATGTAAGCTTTTGTGAACTGTTCACAGTCCCCAGTATCAACTCTATCCATCTGGCTATACGCCTCTATGGCTTTGGGACGAATACCGGGTGAAACAGCGGGGCCGGTCCACAGCATCAGCCAGGGTCAAACTGCAAGACTTCTCAAAGGCAGTGAGGTAGGCGCCTATATCTCCCCTCTCCTCTTCCATTGGGGCAACAACTTGGTATCGAGGTACGCTAGAGCAGAATCACGCTTTTCGTCCAGCTGGAAGGGCAGTCTCCAAGCTGCTCTGCCGATCAAGGATAGAAGGAGCCCTGGGAGCTCAAACAGGTAACCTGCTTGGCTGTCAGACAGCTGGAGCGGAGGCAAATCAAACATGCCTACAGATGCCCTGACTGCCGGTCAGTTACATGCTGGAGGGAATTCAGGCAGGCTGTCATTCCCATTACGTGCTGCCGGCCGCCTGCCCGTGCCTACAGTGAAGCAGTCTGTGTAGCTTATGGTAATTGATCATCTAACATATTGCGAAGGAAATTTGATGCAGTGAGGCTCACTGCATCCAATGGGGAGCAAAAGACTCTCTCCATGCAGGCTGCCCCTGGGACTGATGAGTGTTACATCACTTTTGTGCTCAATATGTCACTGCTAATATCTGTTCCCACCAAATGGGAGTCTTACGGCTACCGAAGTGCTGGGGACACTAGCTTAGATCGGATGCCGGTGACTGGGTGCAGTGGTGTTCTTATTCAGGTCTCTTGTGGATGTCGGGCATCTGCTTTTGGACCCAACAGAGGTGCTAACCTTCAATTGCAGCGGGTATGCAGCACTCTGCTAGTGCTTCTTAGGCAAGCAAGCCAGAAGAGGTGGGTAGTCTGGTCTTCAGAGTTTGCAACACACACACACGATTTCTCTAAGATCGTATCCTGCTTTTCTCCTCTACTTTCCCAAGTGAGCATGTGCAGGGTGTATTTGCTGACGCTGCATATTTTTTAACAGGAACCCGAGACTGTAGGCACTTGAGCTGTGCGGCTGATTGGGATTTTGATCGGAGAAGGAGAACAGGATGGGTTGCATCTGGAATGCTGGTGACCAGAAAGATGGCATGAACTCAGTGTCAGGATAACAGTCTTTCGTTGTGTGTGAAACTGCTCTGTCCTAAAAATGCAGCTCGGTTCAGACTTGAGGCTGAGGCTTCTTGCCTGTTGTATGCTTTTTTGGTTTAGTGTCTCATAAGATTTTAACAATTGCGTGTTTGTCTGCTTTTGGGGAGTGGGGGAGATTTTTGAAAGAAAAATGCTGTGCTTACAAACTTCAGAAAGCTATTAATCTCCAGCATGGCTAATCCTTGCATGAGATGCATTGCTACTGTGACAAGTAAAAAGGAATTTTCAGTGTTGTCTAAGGTTCTGCAGTAAAATACGCCCCCCCCCCCCCGATATTGGAAACAACAAAATCTTGCACTTGAGAAGCATGTGTTAATTTATTTATTTAAGGGATGTCTGTTGGATAGAGAGGGAAAGGGAGTTGGGACTCCTGGGTTCTGTTCATGGCTCTGTTGCTGACTTGCTGTGTCCTTGGGCAAGTCACATAGGCCCTGATCCTCGAAGGGCATCAGTGTGGTTGAAGACCGATTTGTGGAGCTCTGCTTCCTTCACAGCTTTGCTTAGGCCCTGATCTGGCATTGGATCACTCTCTGCTTTGAGCACCTTGCATTTCTGGTTCTGCTTTTAAAGGGTCCTGCCCAGTGCACCTTCTGCTTGTACATGTTTTTCAGTAATAAAAGGAGACACATATTAGGAGTGCCGAACTTTAATCTCTTGAACACTGCTCCTTATCTCCAGTGTAAATAAACTCTATCGACAAAGCATTCCACATTTGAATAGCATTGAGAGAGAGAGAGTGCCTGCCTGCTCTGGTGGGTTATGCTCTGCTTTCACGAAGTTAATCACATGCCTTTGTGGTGGTTGAGCTCTTTAGCTTAACAAAGAGGAAGTTTAGGGGTGGACTTGATTAGCCTATGTAATGGGGTTCACTCACCACTGTGGTGCCTCCTGCTGGCTGTCTTGGGAATTAGCTCAGTGACCTCTTCAGGTGATGTCTTGCCACCATCACTCCTGCTCTAGGACCCACATCTTTCCAAGGACCACAGCGTCCTCTTCAGCAACACAGACCTCGGCTATGCCACACGCTGTGCTCCCCCTTCCCGGGGGACCTGCAGTCCGCTGTTCAGCCACTTCCCTTAGTGGCTACTGCAGCGAATTGTTTGGCTACTTCCCCGTGGCGCCAGCATCCTCTTTGCCCTTGCCTCAGGGCCGCAGCCAGCCAGTGTCTCTCACTTCCCCTGGTCCCTGCTAGCAGCACTGCTCTGTCCATGATGCTGGCAGTTGTCTCAGCCCTCCAGAGACACCATCCTTCCTCTCTGGGGTCCCAGCAGAGAACTCCCCTCCTCTGCCCTGCAGCTCCCTTTTTATATGGGCCTGCTTGGTTGCTCCCCTCAGCCCTTCTCTGTTTGGCTGCCTTCTGCGCAGCCTCCCATGGGCTCTGTTAACCCCTTAGAGCCCAGTGTGGGGCAGGTGCCCCATCATAGCCTACAAGTACCTTCGTGGGGAACAAACATTTAATAGTGGGCTCTTCAATCTAGCAGAGAAAGGTTGAACATGAGGCAATAGCTGGAAGCTGAAGCTAGACAAATTCAGCCAGGAAATAAGGTAGGTGTGTGTGTGTGGTTTTTAACAGTGAGAGTAACCACTGGAATAATTTACTAAGGGTCATGGTGGATTCTTCATCGTGGGCAATTTTTAAATCCATATTGGATATTCCTCTAAAAGATCTGGCCTCTGTGATTCAGGAGGGCTGACTGGATGATCACAATGGTCCCTTTTGGCCTTGGAATCTAAGCCCAGTTTCCTCAAGTGCAGCCTTGCCAGCAGCTGCTTCTGGCTCCCTACTTAAACCCAGCTGTGCCAGTGGCATAAGAGTGTTCTCCTCTTTCCCTTGCAGGAGGCTGGAGTGCTTTTAACCCCCGGGGATGGAGCAGCATGTGAATGGAGCTATGGCCGAGAAGCCAAACCCCATGGACTACGGAGTTCAGATCCGATTCATAGATGACCTGAAGGAAATGAAGAAGCCCCAAAACATCAGGCCTAAGCATTCCAAGCCAGGCTCCTACGGGGTTGCGGTGAGGGTCCAGGGCATTGATGGGCAGCCCTTTGTGGTCCTGAACAGTGGGGCGAAAGGAGAGGACTCCTTCGGGGTGCAGATCAAAAGCGAGAGTAAATACGGGAACCCCTCTCACAGCCAGTGGCCTGAGCAGCTGCCCCCTAACTCTCTCAGGGAAGGCCCGGGCTCCATCAGTTCTGATTCTGATTTGCCGGAAAGCCAGTACGTGGCCAGACATTCCCAGTACAGCTCCTCTGATGAGGAGCTGAGCTCCCAGCGCTACCCGAGGGAGACGAGGCCTGTCAGCGCTGAGGCAGCTCATTCCTACCGCCAGGATGGCTCCTTGTCCCCTCAGGGCGGCTCCAAACAACTGCCACCCCAGAGGCCTTTTGGGGAGGAGCTGAGGAGGACTCAATCTCACAGCTCTCTCTTAAGCCCCAGTTCAGAGGAGGCCTATGGCCCAAGCCCCCTCAGCATGCAGACCAGGGGCACCTACCGATCCCAGTCTCCAGCCAGTACCAAGAGCAGCAGCATGCTGGACATTGCAGGCAGGAAAAGGACTGGCCCCAGCCGGGAATCCCATCCAGCTTCTGGACGAAGGTTTGTAGGCAAGCAGCGATCACCAGACCCAGAGTCCTCCGGTCCTCGGCAGCCAGCTGACCAAAGTGACATTGACACGAAGCCCCTGTCCTCAGTGGATTCCCTGATCACGAAGTTCGACGGGAAGGTTCAGCAGAGGGGCCGAGCTGCCAGGAGAAGCCGGATCTCCCTGGAGGAGAGGAAGCGGTCACTGACTCTTGAAGGCAGGGTGTCCTACTACGACACGGACGATTCCAGAGAGCTGAGCTCCGCCCAGCTCCAGGATCGCCTCACGGAAGGGCCGAAGGGCCTGGCTGCCAAACCGGCTGGTGCGGCCAATGCCTCTCGCACCGGCAGCCTGAACCGAGCGCTCCCGGAAGATCTGAAGGAAAACTCAGTCAAGGTCCAGCTGATGCGAGACTGGACCCATAAAAGCTTGGAGGAGCCTGTGGTTGAGCAGCAGCAAAGTCAAGTGCAATCCAAAGTGCAGGTAACTCTTCATTTGGGGCTCAGTCCTGCTCGGCACGCTGGCCGTGCTTCAGCACCTATTTCACTCTAAGCACAGGAGTAGCCAATGGGAGTAGCGATGCGCTTGACTTCTTGACAGCCCAGCAAACCACATGCTGTCAATGCTCAGGATGGAGCTTTAATTAGCTCTCTGGGCCTCAAGTTCACTGCCTGGGTGATGCCATTGGTCCCTGATCTCAGGATATGCCTGCACTGCAGTCGGGAGGTGTGATGGCAGTAACTGCTGCACAGGCCAGCTTCGCCTGGCACCCTGGGGACAGAGTCAGGCCACCCGCTCGTCTTGCTGAGACTTTGCTGCTGCGGTTCCCACTAGCTTTGCGCTGCAGTCGCAGTGTAGACGTGCCCTGCGATGCCAGACGCTGGTGGTGGCTGCAGCAGTGTGGTTATTCAACCTGAAATCGGCATGCTCCATCTTCGGGCTCGTCCTACCCCAATGAGGAAGCTGCTGCTCCTCCTCCTTAAGGAATGCTGTTCCCAGCTGGCCTATTTCCAAGTGCTTTATGCACTAGAGTTCAATGCTGGGAGCGTAGGTCCCGAGGTGCATTTGACTCGGAAATTCACTAGGCCCTTAAGGGCCACAACCTAACTGCCACCTACACCTAGTTATATCAGATCCCAGCCACGTTTGCTTGCAAAACTGCTGCTGTTGTCCTCTCCTAATATAGGGAGCAGAGTGACAACGTCATAGGTGGATGCAGATCTTCCTGCTTCAGGGTATAAACCAAGCACTCATTGTCTGGGCTTAAGAAGAAACTTACTTTGTGGGTAGGTTATTCCATAAAGGGAGTGGTGGGGTTGGCTTGCGCATTGCTCTGAATCAGCTGGTGCTGGCTTGCATCAGACGGGATACCAGGCTAGATGGGCCCGTTGGTCTGATCCCGTCTGGCAGGTCCTACTGCTGTGCAATGAGCATCTGGTGATGCTTGTCCTGTCTCGTTAGCAGCTTAAGTCCACTCCAGACCTTCTGAAAGACCAGCAGGAAGTCTCTCCGCCTGGGAGCAGCGAGTACACCAAGGAACTGATTTACAGTATTCTGAAGGATGGGTGAGTGTTGGGCCGAGCGCTTGTGGGTCCAGTGTTAGACAGGATATCCGCATCTGATGTGCAGCTGGCTCCGTTGGAGCATGGGGGACTGGAGGCATTGAGTGCTTCACTGCTATAAACTATGGGTGACAAGGTGAGGGAGGGAATATCTTTTATTGGACCAACTTCTGTTGGTGAGAGGCACATGCTTTCATGCTTACAGCTCTCTCACAGAAGTTGGTCCAATAAGATATTCCCTCCCGCCCCCGTGTTTCTCTCATATCCTGGGACCAATACGACTCCAACAATGCTGCATAAACTCACTCTAGTGAAAAAGGTTTCTGAAACAATACAAAGACTTGCTGCATCATCTTGGGGGTGGGATCAGGGCTGACCAGAGGCGGGGGGAAAAAAGGGGGCACAATTGTACTGGGGCCCTGAGCTCAGGGCTCCCCCCCAAACATCTGTATAAATAAAGTGAAATGGGAGGAGGTGGGGCCCCAGCAAACGTGATGCATCAGGGCCCCACATTTCTCTCAAGGGGGTGGTGTTTCTCAAGTGAACTCTGCCACATAGCTCTCGCTAGGCAAATCTATCCTAAACAGGAGCCTTTCTACCAAGTCTGTTACACAGGAGCTCAGACTAGCTGATCACAATGGGCCCTTCTGGCCTTGGAATCTGAGTGTAGAAAATCTGGCCCCAGATGTGTAGGAAAATTGGTCCTTTAAATAAAACAAAACTCTGTTCCTTTAAATCCAGCCCTGGGATAGGAGTCTAGTGCCCTGGGCATCTTGCGGGAGTGTATGCTTAAGAACCCTTGAACTACAGCTTAGCCCACACACTAACAACTGTAAGCCTCTTGGCTAAACGGTAGCAACTCTAGAAAGGTGCAAATTGTGCACATGGCAACCTTGGAGCCGACAAAGGGAATTAATTCCTAGTGGCATCGCCTTCTGTTTTAAATAATCCTGTGGAGGTGGATAGTGTCTGTTCTCTGGGAAGTCCCCAGGTGGGTGGGAGTACAGGGCAAATGAGGCAGCTGATCTGCTGAACTTAATCACTAAAAAGATTCTCTATGGGAAAGCAAGGGTTTAAAGATGACCTCTCTCCTTCCCCTTCCCTGCCTTGTGGATACTTGACTGAAACACTCACTTTCAGATTTTCACTCCCATGGCTTCTTGTAAAGAGGGACTTACCCCTTTACCTTCAATTCATATATTATGGGCCTCATAAACTGTGGGGAGCGGTGAATTGAACTTTCCTCTAACTTGCCCCAGAGGTGCTCATCATAAGTGTTACCTGCAACAACATTAAGTTAAAAAATCTGGACAGAAGTGTGTATGTCTCTTAAATACTTACTTTGGTAACAGGGGCCAAGTATCTGAGCACTTCACAACCTTTAATGTATTTCATCCTCTCAATGCCCCTATGAGGCAGTGAAGAGCAATTATCTCCCTTGTTCAGATGGGGAAACTGAGGCATGGAGGGGTTAAGTGACTTGCCCACGATCACATAGGTCCTGTGGCAGAGCAGAGATTCAAATCTAAGTCTCCAGAGTCATAGGCGAGTGCCTTAAACGCTGCTTTGCTTTTCCTCCCCCCGACTCTTGTGGCTGTGTCCCTTTTAACCTGAATGATTTTCTTTGTTGGTATTTGCTTGTTTCTTTTTCAGGAGCAAAGAAAGTGAAAGCTCACTGAAGAGAAAAACCAACCTGATGTTTGAGAAGATCCAAGCGCTCACTGTAAGTCTCCATATCAGTCTCCCCTTATTTTGCAAAGAATGACATTCACCCCTGGACAGAGTCCAGTGCAAAAGCCCTATAAGACTTATGGGGCACCCGGCTCTTAGCAGAAGGGTAAATTTTTCACCCCCGTATTATCAAACCAGGGTGGTACTGATTGGGCAGGATGACTGCCGTCTCTTAGTGTACATCTGCACTGCAGCTGGAAGTGTAATTCCCTGGTCAGAGAGACATACACCTGCTAGCTCCAGTCAAGTCAGTGCAATAAAAATAGCAGCATGCCAGGGTGGTGTGGGCCGCGGGAGAGGCTAACAATCCTCCTACTTAGCTATTGTTTCACATGGGATTGTTCTCCGGGCAGCTTGCGTTGGTTGCTGTGGCAACGCTGCCATTTTTAGTGCACTCACTCAGTCAAAGCTAGCCCAGGCATGCTGCCCCAAGCTGGAAACTTACAGCTGCACTGTAGACACTACCCTCTTCTCCTGACCCGCACCAAGGGGCTGAGCTCCCTCCCCCTCCACCCCTCACGGGAACCCCCCAATACACAGCGTGGTCAGATGCATTGTGGGCTTTTCACCTTTCGTTAAGCCATCGACAATTGGCCCCAGCTGGGGGTTGGATTCCAGGCTTGACAAGTCAGTGATCTGACAAATGCTTTGCTCTCTAGGGCTCAATATTTTTATCCTTTCTGAACTGCAACCTTGAGCAGTTTGAAGCAAGAATGAAAGTTTTGGGGCTGGGATTCTGGGAGGTGTGTGTTGTTTACATTATCCCATTCGCTGGAAGAGATCAGTTTTTCCTGTGGACACTGCTGTGGCCCTGGACTTGGTTTTTTGTTTTGTTTGTCATCTTCTCCAGGGAAGCAGACAGAAATGACTCTTTCATTCTGAGAATTATCTGTGTATGAAAGCAACATGGCTTCCTTTCAGGCATCAGCTCTGATGCTGCTGGAGATGTTAACTTAACAGGGAGTGCAGTTCCCGTTTCATATTCCATGTTAAAAGGGATCTGAACCCATTTTGCCAACTCCACCATTCTCACAGCTCATTTGGTGCTGGCTCTTTCCTGCTGTGCTTGGAGCTTGCCTGAAATGGCTGCGATCTTGATTAAACCTGGCATTTCAGAGCCTCCGACTTGAGGCCCAACATACCTCTGGCAGGACGTGGATCGATATCTTTCGATGTTGGCATCAGAGGGCTGCTTGCTCATGTCAGGTTTAAAAACAAAAACAAAAAACTGCTGCTGAGAATGATACTGTCATTTTTAACTCTTAACTTAAAGGAAGTTTAAAATTGGTGGCCTGAACTACTTGAGCACTGAGGGGGGAAAAACCGGAGACCACTGGATTGGCACTCAGGAGATCTGGGTCCTAGTCCTGGCCCCACCACAGGCTGCGGGTGTGACCTTGGGCAAGTCCTTGCGCCTCTCCATGCCTCAGTTTCCCTGTATGCACCCTGGGGATACTCGCTCTGCCCTGTCTCACAGCGGGGTTTGTGAGGATCAATACACTAAGACTGTGAGGTGCCCAAAGTCTGTCATGATGGAGGGCTGTAAAAGTACCTAGATATAACTAAAGGTACCCTGTATCAGTGTTACCACCATCAGAAGAGACTGAGATCAAGGCCCCGTTTTGCTAGGTGCTGTACAGACACATGGTCCTCGAAGTGAAGTGCTTGTCATGTACATAGGAAAGAGAAAGGAAGATCCCCACCCCCGTTTTACAGGCCTGTCTTGGGTACTTACCTGGCCCCCATCACCACAATATCAGAGCACCACACATTCGTCAATCAATTCATCCTCCCAAGACCCAGAAGGTGGAGCTAGGCTGTTGTCCCCATTGTACAGGTGGGGAACTGAGGCACAGGGAGGCCAAGTGATTTGCCAAGGGTCACAGAGGAATTCTGGTGGAGCTGGGACTTGAACCCAGGGCTCCAGAGTGCCATCCCAGTCAGTGTCTTAACCACAAGACTGTCCTTCCTCTCCAGTAATTGACTTCAGGCAGCATCTCCAGGGTGCTTGTGTTAGACAGAGCCCCCTCTTTGTTTAACAGGTGGCGCCTCCTGAGGACGCGAGAGCATCCATTTCCCAGAACAGTGAGCTGAAGAGGAAGGTGGAGGAGCTGCAGGAGAAACTAGATGAAGAGACAAAGGTGACACCAGTACCTGGTCGGTTAGATGCACTGGATAGTCAACTCCTGCATTGCTAGGAGGGTGGTGGAAGGCTGCCGGCCCTATGGAGCTGCCACCCTTCCACTGCTTTGGGTGGGGAGGGGGGTGAACTCTGTGCTGTCACCATACACCCCAGCATGGAGTGGGGAGGTTTTGTGGGAGACTTGGCTAGTGACTCTGTAATTACATTGGTCCAGTGGCTGTAAGTACTGTGTACCCTTTACTCTTGGACTGGAATATCAGCTGTAGGGCTGCCTGCGGGTTGTGGGGTGGGTTCTATCTCTGCCTACCCCTAACCAGTTCCCTGCACAAACTCATCCCTTTTTTACCTCCTTCCCTCCCCGCAAATTAGGAGTGAGGTGCCTAATCCCCTTAGAACCAGATCCTCGGCTGGCCCAGTTCCGGTGAAGTCAGTGGACTGACTTACACCAGCTGAGGATCCATTTGTGGGATGCCACGAGAAACATTCTCTGAAGTTAGCTGGTGGCAGCATCCGTTAAATCCTAGCCTCTCCCTCTTCCGTGGCCGCTAATGCTCTATTCTCCCCTCTCCCAGCTCCGCCAGAAAGCGGAGCAGGCCAGGGAGCATGCCAGGAGCAGTGCTGCTCGGAACCTGGAGAGCCGGCTGGCGGAGGCGCAGGACAAGGGCAGGCTCCTCAAGGAAGACTTGGAGAAGACGATGCAGGAGCTGAAAAGCCGCTTGCAAGAGTAGGAGCCACTTCTTGTGTCTGGGGTGGGCTACGCAGGTCCTGGCAGAGTGCTAACGCTCTTCGCTATGGATACCGTGCTCTCCATCATTAATAAGCCCTTCCCACCTGAGTTAGGTTGTGGGCATCCCTGTTTTATAGATGGAGAAACTGAGGAAGAAGTGACTTGCCTTATCTAGCTGATCCTAACTGCCTCAAGGCCATTAATGGCTTTGTCCTCTCAGCCCCTGCTTGAGGTATTATCCCCATTGTACAGCTAGAGAACTGAGGCACAGGGTAGATGGAATGACTTGCCCAAAGTCCCACAGGAAGTCTGTGGCCAAGGCTGGGAATTGAACTCAGGTCTCCTGACTCCCAGCCCAGAGCCCTACCCACTAGGACCCCTGGTGTCTGGGCCAGAATTGTATGTGGGGCTGTGGCTGTACTGTGCTGAGACCAGGCTCCTCCCTGGCTGGCTCTAAACAGGCTCACCGGGTCTCCTCTAGGCTGACGGAAGTGAAAGCTGCCAGAGAGCAGGCAGAGGACAAACTGGGAGACGCAGAAGAGCAGCTAATGGGGATGCACGAGGAGCTGGACAGGCTGCGGAAAACCTCGGTGGACTCTGCAGACCGAGACGAGCTCATGAAGGTACATGACTCTCCCCACCTCATCGTGCGTCTTGGATCCTGACTGCGCTTCTCAGCAGGGGTAAATAGATGCGGCCGTTGAAGCCGACGGTGCTGCGCTGAATTACAGCACTGGGGGAGCAGGGCCTCTCCCTGAATCAGCATTCCACCAATAATCCCTAGCGCCCTCCGCACTGGATACAGGAGGTCAGTCTCATTATCCCCACTGAGCAGATGGGGAAACTGAGGCACCGAGGCACAGTAACTTGCCCAAGGTCACCCTGCAGGCTGGGGGCAGAGCTGGGAAGGGAACCCAGATTGCCAGAGTCCCAGTCCAGTGTGTTCCACTGGCCAAGACTGCCTCTCTACAGCACTGCTAGACGTGTATAGCATAGCTCCAGGTGGGGAAAGCATCTCTGTCCCTCCCCTCCCCTCAGGAGCTTCTGGAAACCAGAGAGGAGTTGGAGGAGGTCCTCAATGCCAAACAGAAGCAAGAAGAACATCTGCGCCTGCGGGAGCGGGAGCTGACTGCGCTGAAAGGAGCCCTGAAGGAGGAGGTGGCGAATCACGACAAGGAGCTGGACCGGGTGACACAGCAGTACCAGCACGACATGGACCAGCTGAGGCGAAACATGGAGGACGTGTCTCAGGTAAAGCCACAGACGCGTGAAATGGAAGCGTAAAGCGAACACGCTGGGGGAACTGCTGGCGTCTGCTAGGAGATTAAGGCTTGCTCATTTTACGGACTGGATTTAGAAGACATAGAAAATTATAGCTGTGGCCCGCTTCCCTTAAATGCCCTCCCCCCTAGCTTTTCAGTTGGCTACGACCTTTGCTTCCTGTCCTAAAGTATCCTCGAGGGGTGGTGTGGCCATGGGCGCTGCATGTCCCTGCTCAGTGACGGGGAGGCTCTGGGCTATACCAGAAAGTTGCACCAGTTTTAACTTACGGTGTGATCTCTCTTAAACCGCTTTCTAGCTGGTTCAGACATCTCAGTGGATGCTCATTTTGGTCAGAACCTGATTTATTTCTGCTCCGCGCAGCTGACCAAAATCAGCGTCCATGCAGCCTTCTGCACTGATTTAATGAAAGCTGGTTTAAAAGAGGTCCCAGCTCAACTTAAACTGGTGCAACGGCTCAGCCGATGCCTTGGTCGGTGTGTGCAAAGCACTGTGAACCGCCAGAGAAAAGGGGCACGTTACTTAGCGCTCCTCCTCCCCCAGCACTGAACTTCTGAATCCGCTGACCGAGCGCTACATGTGGGTGCTCAATTCACTTGCTTAAGCAATGGCTCGAATATGTCTCTCCGTGGTGCTGAATTCTGGTGTGTTACACTAGTATCCAGTTGGAGGAGCTCCCTAGATTTTAGAGAAGCTACTGCAGATGACCCTGATGTAACAAAGGACAGGATCTAGGCTGGGTGTGCGTTGGAAGCCTCCACTAAGTACACGGAAAGCTGTAAGGAACCCTGTGTAAGTTTTGCAGAGGTTTCTACCAAGTCATAACTTTCCCAGCCTACTTGCAGTAAATGCACCCAACCCAACAGCAAATGTTTGACAGCTTCGTTCCTGTTCCTAGGACCAAGCCAGTCTAGAGATCGAGAGGCAGAAAATCAACTCGATAGTGAGGAAACTCCAGAAGGAGCTGGAGGAGAGCAACGAGGAGACCGGCCACTGGAGGGAGATGTTCCAGAAGAACAAGGAGGAGCTGCGCAGCACCAAGCAGGAGTGAGCTCTCACTGATGCGCCGTGTGCATCCCAGGATCGCAGCTGTGACTGGGCATGGTTAGCTAGGGCCGATCTGCCCACAGGCTAGAGTGGCCCTAAAGGGTTCGGCTGCTCCATCTTATCCAGTCATAGAATCATAGAATATCAGGGTTGGAAGGGACCTCAGGAGATCATATAGTCCAACCCCCTACTCAAAGCAGGACCAATCCCCAATTTTTGCGCCAGATCCCTAAATGGCCGCCTCAAAGATTGAACTCACAACCCTGGGTTTAGCAGGTCAGTGCTCAAACCACTGAGCTATCCCTCCCCCTCAAACGCCTTTCCTGTAAATCCGGGAAAGATAACTGGGGGATGTCTCCCAACCTGGCTCTAGGGTGTCATTCCAGGGAGAATCAAGGCAGGATTCTTGGCCTGGGCTCACTGGCAGAAGCCGTGATGCGGTCGGTGGACAGGCTTACGGGCACTGGCATTGCTGATGCGGAGCCCAGCAAGGAGCTGCACGGTGCCTCTCTCTGATCCTGTCACAACGTTACCCAAGGGAGGATAGGGGGTCGTGTAGCTCAGGCTTGGCTGGTGTGCACAGGGCATGCGGCCAGCCACCTAAGTCTCAGTGCACCCCTCCTGGTGACCTTCGTAGGCTTTCTTCCCACTCAGCCCAGCTTCCCATAGGGTCAGACTCCCCATGGTTCTTCCATGGGGCAATGGGGAGCCCACCTGGCACTACTTCGCTTCCCGCACGCAGGCTCATGCAGGTGAAACAGGAGCGGGAGGAGTTCGAGGAGGAGCTGCGGGAGCTGCGGGAGCGGTTCTCGGCCATGCGGGTGGAGGTGGACCAGGTCAGGAACAGCACCGTGGATGCTGGCCAAGTAGAAGCCCTGAAGAAGGTATGATGGGCAGAGCGTGGTCAGAAGGAAGGTGGCTCTTGGCTCATAGAGCAGCTGTGTGAACAACCTGAAGGTTGGGGCCCGGTTCTCACGGATGCCAAGGCCTCTTCAGGCCATTCTGGTAGCAGAAAGGTGCCTTAAAATGAGCTCCCTGAGATCGCCATGGCACATGGGGCCACTGTACCACTGGTGTAGCTGTTGGCATAGAGGGCAGGGTAAGGAAGTGGTCAGAGCTTGCCCCACTACTCTCTGCTGCCCAGAGCCCAGGGGGTTATGGCTAGAGCAGGTTGGGAATCTTCTGACAGAAAGTTTTTCTTTCCCTCCTTGTCCCCCTCCCCCTCCCCCCAAATGGGGACAGGAAAAACCACTTCCTGCCCAGGCCTAGCTACCACAACGCAGTGGTCTTAACTGGGACCACCGCTAAGCTGAGGGTAGCAGGCTCTCTGGGAGCCCAGTTCCCTCTCTGTTAGACCTCCGGCTACCTCATGAGCACTGCCGGGACTCCCAGAGCTTGGCGCGTGTATTCGATGCTCTTTAAAGCCTGTCAGCAACTCTGCTGCTGCTCCTCCTCCTCCTGCAGAAGCTGCGTCAAGCCCAAGAGGAGCTGAGGGAGCTGGCTTCAGAGAAGCAGGCCCAGGACGAGCTGGTCCACCAGAGGGAGCGGGAGCTGGCCGCCCTGAAGGGGGCACTCCAGGAAGAGGTGGCCAGCCGTGACATGGAGGTAGAACAGCTAAAGCAGCAGTTCCAGAAGAACTTGCAGCAGCTCAGGAAGGACTACGACGAAGCTGCCAAGGCAAGAGCCCCGGGTCTCCCAGCTCGGACCCCCTATAGCAGAGGACCCCTGGGAATGCCTATCCCTGCCTGATCTCAAGCCAGGCATGCTGAAGGCTGCAAGCCTGGGTAACTGGCACCGGTGGGCAGTGATTATTGCAGCTCAGGGGTGTGGGGCACAGGACTGTACCCAGGACACAGATCTGGGGCACCTTCTGCACAGCTTGCTTTCCTGCACCCTGCCCCGAGACCTGCCCTTTATCGCTGTGACAGCAGCAAACCTCTGAGCCCACAATGCCCCTTGCGCGTGTCTGGCTGCTTGCCGCGTCCATATCCTTGGAGTTCCGTCAGAGGCTCCATTTCCCACCCCATTGACCCAGCAAGCGAGAGGTGCCACCTCTTGCAGAGGCGCCTGCTCACTGTGTGTGGGGCCACAGTGGAACGGGCACCCTCTGTCCAAAGATCTGCACCTGAGAGCCCATTTGCCCTCCGCTGGACAGAAGCTTTTGGAGACCAGCTCCTGTGAGCACCGGCTTCCCACGTGCCAGCGGATGGTGTCCGGATCTGGCCCTGGACTCACCTGTGCATGTTTTCTTGCCCGGCGTGCAGGTGAAGGTGGCCGTGGAGAGCGAGAAGGAGGCCACGGAGCAGATGAGGAAGGCCATGGAGTCCGCTCTGCGGGAGACGCAGGAGGAGAATGACGACTTGAGGAGGAAGATCCTGGGCCTGGAGATGCAGGTCAAGGAGTACAGGCACTTCTCCGAGAACTGGGAGGGCTCGGAGGCCAGGCTCAGGGAGAAGATCACCAAGCTGGAGGTACAGGAGGGCAGCAGCACTGCCGTACACACAGACCCACCTCCTTCCTCAGCTTCCTTCCCAGGGGAACGCCTTGAAGGCCCCATGGTGCTGGGTGCTGCACAGACCTGAAGAAAGTCAGTGCTTCAGGGCACGTCTACACTATAAAGTTAAGTCGGCCTATAGAGTTACAGCCACTGTAGTAATCACTGCCCTGTGATTCGTGTCCACGCTGCCCTTTTTCCGTCAGTGGTGTACGTCCTCACCAGGAGCACTTTCACCAACTTTAGAGGGGCAGTGGCGGGGGGGCTGAGTCCCGTCAGCTGCTGTGCTCCCGACAGGGAGCAGAGTGCCCAAGGGGTGCGCCCGGTGTCCAGTCAGCTGCCCCATTTCTAGCAGGGAGCTGAGAAGCCCAGGGGGGATCCTGAGCCAGGAGTGGAGACCATGCAGCAGCCCTGCTGGGGAGCTGGCTTGTCAATTTCACGGCTCCAGCAGAGCTGTGAAGTTGATAAGAATGACAGCCAATAGATGTAAGTAATACAGTGTCTACAGGACACTGCGTCGCCTTAACTACACCGACATAAGCCTTATGCCTCTTGTGGAGGTGGAGTTATTCTGTTGGTGTAACAGGGCACTTCCATCGGCGGGAGCGAGGCTGTAGTGTGTACTCTGACATAATTAGATTGATGTAAACTGCCTTCTGTCAACCTCCTGCTGCCATGTAGACCAGGCCTCAGTGAGCTTACAGCCCACACAGAGGGGAAGGGCCTTGCCCAGGGTCACCCGCAGGTCACACATCTCCTGAGCATTATCCATGCTGCCCCGTCCAGACTGAGATATTCAAATACAAAGCTCCCAGGGATGTTAGGGGCTGGGCTGTTTCTCTGAGAGCTCCTCCCCTTCCAGGCTGATCGCAGACAGATGGAGGTATCCTTGGAGGAGGCTGCGGAGCAGGAGCAGGAGCTGCTGATGGCCAAGAGGTCTCTGGAGAGCCGCCTGGAAGAGGCCCAGAGGAGTCTCAGCCGGCTATCTCAGGAGCACCAAGCGCTGAACGCCTCGCACCAGGAGGAGATGAAGCAGAAGGAACAGCTGAGGAGGACCAAGAATGAGCTGGAGGAGCAGAAGAGGCTGCTGGATAAGACCACAGAGAAGCTGACCAGAGAGGTTTGTGAGACTCCTCAGCTGATGTCACCGGCTTAAAGCCTGGGGGAGGGGCCAGGTGTTGCCCATGCTCTCCCAGGGCTGCTTGGATCAAGTTATTGCACTGCATGCTGGGACATGTAGTCTCTGTAGGATGTGGCCATCTTAGTCCTGAGAAGCTTGCACAAGGGCCCAGAGTTTAAACCTCCCGCCACCCCCCAAATCTTACACTGGTGGCATTTGCTACCAATAAGGGGAGAGGCCTCTATTTGAAAAGGGCTGGGATTCTGATATGTCCAGCAGCTAGGGTGACCAGATAGCAACTGTAAAAAATCCGGACGGGAGCTGGCGGAGGGGTAATAAGTGCCTATATAAGGCACAATCCTGAATATTGGGACTGTGCCTATAAAATTGGGACATCTGGTCACCCTGCCAGCAACCTGCTTGCAAACAGGTCTTGGCTGCGTTGAAACATTAATGCTAAGATGCATCAGGTTCATAAACTGTTCCATTCCACCCAAGCATGGTATCCTTTTGGCTGGGCGGGAGCTTTCAGAGACCTTGGGCTTAATACTCTGGACATCAACTGGTGTTGCCAACAGATCAGGTGGCTGCACCCGAGCTGGGCTGTACCAGCGCACAAGGTAGGGAGGTGGTCTAGGGGAAGCCTCTCTTCTCCCTGTCAGGCGACCGGCCTGCTCACCCGCCAGCTAACACGTTTGGCACAGCCAGCAGCAAGCACCGCCTGTGACTGTATTTTGCTCGTGCTCGGAGATCTGTCTGGGAGCCCTTTAATAGAGCACACACGGGACAGCCTTTCTGCTTCCTCTCCCTCTGGCTAGAACAGGATTTAGTCTTTTAATCTCAGGTGCTAGCAGAAGCCCATGAAACCTTTTGCGGGAGAACAAGTTCCTGCCTCCAAGCTGGTATCCTTAGCCACAGGACGAGATGGTTCTCGGGTGTATCGTTCTAGCTTGTGAGCAGCTGGTACGTGACTAGGAGTTGCCATGCAGCTGTCCTACAAGCTCTGACACTTCTGTTTGTTTAGAAGAGGCTCTCTTAACCTCTTGTGAGCTCGTATTTCATCAGCTTGTACGAGGGTGGCCCCCACTGCGCTAGGCACCACAAACCCAGCGACTGCAGGACGCTTTTAATAATCCCTGGCTCTCATCTAGTGCTCTTGATGAGTAAATTCCAAAGAAGGCCTGTACCATTGTCCCCATTTTGCAGATGGAGAAGCTGAGGCACAGAGCAGGGAAGTAACTGGGCCAAGGTCACCCAGCCGCAGAGCTAGGAATAGAATCCCGGTCTCCTGAGTCCCAGTCCAGTGCGCTGTCCACTAGGCCATGCTGCCTCCCCATTTTTAGGAGTTTCCAGTCTAGGTTACAGATAAAGCAGTGAGGAGCAATAACTGGCCATTGCGGGAAGCGAGCATTAAAGTGGGTGACGCCTCTCCAGCGCTGCAGGGGAGGCCTGACGTAAGGGAACGGCCAGATCATTACACAGTGTCACGTGGGTGCCAACTCCGTTTGTCGCCCAGGCTTACAGAGCTGTTGCTTGGCGTTTGGCTGGGATTCTGCAGGGGCGGCGGGCTGGCCTGCTAGCTGGAGTGCATGTGGCTCGTGCTGCCGTGGCTTGGCTCGCCAAGGGGTGGCATTGGGAGCTCGCCCAGTAGAGTAACTGGAGATGCCTTGCGAAACCAGCTGAAATATGGAGCCATCTGGAAGGTGCTGAGCCACCAGCTGGGGAGGATATTAGTACAGACTAGCTTTTCTTGCCCTCTTAAAATGTCTCATTAGTCTCCATAAAACCCACTACGACTTCTCAGCTCACTAGAGACCCCAAGGGATGCAGCATCCTGGCAGGTCCCGGATGCTAGAAGATTTGGGAGTTGTAGGGTGAACTCTGGTATCCAAGGTGACTCATTTTGCAGTCCTCTGGCCCCACCAGGCTCGCTTATGAAATTCACTGGATGATGAGCTCTGGTGGCTGGATTACCCCAGCGATAGGTGCTGTATAAATCTAAGCTGTGCTGCTGGGTGACCTGCAAGGACTTCATATTGCTGGCCCCAGCCAGGTTAGCCAGCTGCGTTTAACAGGCATTTCTGTGCAAAATCTCTGCTTTGAGTTCAGCTTTGCCCGTCTCCTTCGGACATCAGAACCATTCCTAGCAGCCTCAGCTCTATTGTTCAAACCAAATGTCTGGGAGAAAAAGGGGAAAGTCCAGCCCACTAACCAGTATTGCAGGGAACACCCTCTTACTTCCTTCCCTTCCTCCTCATGGTGGTTCTAAACCTACTAGGGCTCTCTTCCCTCCACTCCCATGGACGTTAACTGGGACCCCCCAGGTGGCTCCAATGGCATCGTTGATCTCCATGTGGCCCAGGGGAGGTGGTTGGTTGTGGGCACTAATTGTGGGTTCCTAAGTACTCCTTCCCCTGTGCTCTAGCTGGACCAGATGGCTCAGGAGTCCCACAGCTCACTGGCCATGCTGCAGTCGCAGCTGGAGGAGTACAAGGAGAAGTCACGGAAGGAGGTTGCAGATTCCCAGAAGCAGGCCAAGGACCGCGGTGCGGAGGTGGAGAAGATGCAGTTCACCATGGGCCGGCTGCAGGACGAGGTAGGCTGCCGGCTCTCAGGTGCTTCGTCTTGCTCACAACCTGCCAGGGGCTGTCTTTAGAGAGGGCGTCTACGATGTGTTTGCCAGAAATCACTAGCGCTGGGAAGATGCGAACGTCCCTCGTCCACTTTCAAATTACCCAGTGTAACCAAGTCACGCACCTTCCCTGCCTCAGGCAAACTGCCTGCTCAGCTCAGGCCTTGATCCGAAGGTGAGCGTAGCCCTGTTGGAACATGGGAGAATGCAGGAGCAGCAGCCAATGTAACTCTAGACAGTACAAGAGCTCCCTTGCCCCCAATTCCAGTGGAAGAGGCTGCACTACCTGAGACTGGCCGCTGTGTCCTTGAAGTCGGCTGTGCTCAAGGGCATCGCAGAGGCTGTATCACCAGCGATCCCAGATCAGATCTGTTCAGTAGACAAGTAAAGGGGTGAGCATCTGTAACAGCAAGCGCCAGCAGGGACCAGAGTCGGGCTGGGCGCCGTCTGGCTCCCACATGGCCAGCAATAAAGATCCTGCAGTCGGAATTTAGCAAATTCCGTTTGTGAGCCAGGAAAGAGTCTGCCTCCCTCTTGCATTGCTTGGGGGACTTGGGGACAGACTCTGGTTCCCTCCCCTGGAGCTGGGCTGGCCCTCCAGGGCTAAGAGGAGTGACAGGTAGTGGAATCTCTCTCTAGTTCAGTCTGCTCTGTTCCGACTGGGAGCGCAGACTGGACAGATCGAAGCTGGAGTAATTCTCGCCTTCCGAGTGAAACTGCAGCATCTCGGCCTTCCTGAGACCAGATACCTCTAAGGTGCTTCCTGTGAAATCCATGAGCCCAGTGCTGGGCCCCAGCGTGTGCGGGTGGAGTGGGGTTGTGCGCTCGCAGGGCTGGAGAGCTCTGCCCAGCTATTCCAAATCCAGCTGCTGAGAGCCCTCTGTGCAAAGAGGGAAGCTCTGCTGTGGCTAAGCTCTGGGTCAGCTGCAGCATCACCAGCTCCAGGCCACACATAGGGCACAGGCTGGAGTGCTGTGTGAGGTGCATTCCCCTCCTTGGCTTGTGTGGGGGTGGGTTTTTTGTTTCAAATCCAGAGTCATTCCAGTCCCTTTCCTGCAGGCTGGCCGCTATCCAGAGGGCCACTCGCTACCTGAAGTATGTAGCTTGGTGGTGTCTGGCCCCTCCTACATCTGTTAATCACCCTGATGACAGAGCTGGGTCTTCTCTGCTATGCAAAGAGCAGATCACCGGTACTATGCGTGGGTGCCCAGAAGTGTCCTTAGACCAGAGCCTGCTGGTTGCGGGGGAAGAGTCTCCTCTCGCCACACAGTGCAGAAATGGGGGCTGTTTCTCTTTTCTCTCCCTCTCCTCCAGCCGAAGCAGGTTGGCCATGGCTGTCTGCAGGGCTCGCTAGCGCTGCAAGCGTCAACCACACAGTATCACTGGAGGCCACTAGGGGGTCGTTCAATGGTTGGCACCACACTGGTCCTCCTAAAGCCTTTGCTTCTCCCCTCCCCCAGGATCCTCTGCTTTGTCCAGCTGCTACACCTGTGAGCCAGCCTGTGTGGTCACTAGGGGAGATCTTCAGATGCCTGGCGTGTACAGCTTTCTGCAGGCTCTAGGGGAACGCCGGGGTAGCGCGGTAGCTCTCTGACGCTGTCTCTTCCCGCAGATCACGCGGCTGAAGCAAGCACTTCAGGACAGCCAGGCTGAGCGGGAAAGCGCCGTGCTGGATAAGGATGTGCTGGCCCAGCGCCTGCAGAACCTGGAGCAGGAGGTGGAGTCCAAGAAACGCTCCCAGGGCGATCGCTCTCGACAGGTCAAAGCGCTGGAGGTTCGTTTGCTCTCCCTGACCCTAGTGCCGCTTTGAACTCCTGTGGCACAGGGAGCTCACGGGAATGCAGGAGTTCTTATTCACAGGGCTTCGGAGCGGAGCCCGGAGCTGGAGCTGGAGCGGAGCCGGAGCACAGCTCCAAAGCCCTGCTTATTCAAGTGCTGGCAGGTGAGGGTCCCCCTGGGAAGGCTGCAGTGGTTGGGAGGGGAAGAGTCTTTATGACCAAGTCCCCATCTCCACTGCCAACCTTACTACAATCCTATCTGTGCCATCTTCCTCCAGAACATCTCACCAGCACTAAATTCCCATGCACAGAACGTAGCATTGTTCTCTGTTCTGCCGCAGAATGGGCGCGACCGTGAAACTGCAACTAGCTCCTTTAGCATGGCACCGAACAGTGTGACGCACCCTGCCTGGGACCCCCAGCAACAATCTGGTGACTAGACTGCCCTGGCACCCTGATACCAGTGCTGCCTCTCCTGCTTGCAGCCCCAGTAATGGCGTAGCTGGGGGACACAGGCCTATAGTCTAATCCATGAGTATGCAGTGGGTGGGGGCTGTATCTCCGGGTCTGCCTGCGTTCCCCGGAGTCCAAGCCTCTGGATTGGCCTGTTTTAGTGCCACAGCTATGCAGGTGCTGGTCAAATGCTTTTTCTCCCCCCCAGAGCATCTGTAAGTACACGGTCTGCTTTCTCCTCCAGCATGTGCAAACAGCAGGTTGGTTAATGCTGACTGCTGAGGTTCTGATTGCCACAGCCTTTTCTTAGGCCAAACTCCCACTGACTGCATGTTGGGGGGCCTTTTGTGACATAGAATCATAGAATCTCAGGGTTGGAAGGGACCTCAGGAGATCATCTAGTCCAACCCCCTGCTCAAAGCAGGACCAATCCCCAACTAAATCATCCCAGCCAGGGCTTTGTCAAGCCTGACCTTAAAAATTTCAAAGGAAGGAGATTCCACCACCTCCCTAGGTAACGCATTCCAGTGCTTCACCACCTTCCTAGTGAAAAAGTTTTTCCTAAAATCCAACCTAAACCTCCCCCACTGCAACTTGAGACCATTACTCCTCTTTCTGTCATCTGCTACCGCTGAGAACAGTCTAGATCCATTCTCTTTGGAATCCCCTTTCAGGTAGTTGAAAGCAGCTATCAAATCCCCCCTCATTCTTCTCTTCCTCAGACTAAACAATCCCAGTCCCCTCAGCCTCTCCTCATAACTCATGTGTTCCAGTCCCCTAATCATTTTTGTTGCCCTTCGCCGGACTCTCTCCAATTTATCCACATCCTTCTTGTAGTGTGGGGCCCAAAACTGGACACAGTACTCCAGATGAGGCCTCACCAATGTCGAATAGAGGGGAATGATCATGTCCCTCGATCTGCTGGCAATGTCCCTACTTATACACTCCAAAATGCCATTGGCCTTCTTGGCAACAAGGGCACACTGTTGACTCATATCCAGCTTCTCGTCCACTGTCACCCCTAGGTCCTTCTCTGCAGAACTGCTGCCGAGCCATTCGGTCCCTAGTCTGTAGCGGTGCATTGGATTCTTCCGTCCTAAGTGCAGGACTCTGCACTTGTCCTTGTTGAACCTCATCAGATTTCTTTTGGCCCAATCCTCTAATTTGTCTAGGTCCCTCTGTATCCTATCCTTACCCTCCAGTGTGTCTACCTCTCCTCCCAGTTCAGTGTCATCTGCAAACTTGCTGAGGGTGCAGTCCACGCCATCCTCCGGATCGTTAATGAAGATATTGAACAAAACCGGCTCCAGGACCGACCCTTGGGGCACTCCACTTGATACCGGCTGCCAACTAGACATGGAGCCGTTGATCACTACCCGTTGAGCCCAACAATCTAGCCAGCTTTCTATCCACCTTATAGTCCATTCATCCAGCCCATACTTCTTTAACTTGTTTGGTGACGTAACCCTGCCCCCCTCCCCATAGTGGTCATGAAGCCATCAGAGTTAGTAGAGCCCAAATGTTCACCTGTTTTTAAGAAGGACTCTTTCAGCTCCACGTCTTAGGCTGTGGGGCTCTGAATAAGTACTCAAGAACAATAATCAAACTTTCTTGCAACAGCACCGGGCTTCGTGCTGTTAAAGGCAATTGCTAACAAACGATATCTGCTGTAACTGAGATTTTAAAACCAGATGGTTGTAGCCATTAGACTAAAAGCCACCAAGTAAGTTTTTAAGAGTAGCCAGCTGGTGCATCTGTGTAATGGTGAGACAAATCAGCAGGGAGCTGGACTCTGGGAGCGGGGTGGCTAGAAATGACAAGGAGGACTCTGTTTTGAGGGAGAGCTGAGAGTTTACCCCAGTGTTTTGCCCACATCTAACAGCAAGTAAGGAAGCATGCACTCAATCCAGGAGAGCATCTGCTGCTGTCTGTGGCACAAAACCTGCTAGCTACAAAGCCTGCCTTTAACAGCAGAGGGCAGAGTTGTCTTCAGAGTCTCTCCTTCACTTGGAAACTGGACCTTTTGTTTAACACTTTCTTTAATTGCCAAAAGAAAAGGAGGACTTGTGGCACCTTAGAGACTAACCAATTTATTTGAGCATAAGCTTTCGTGAGCTACAGCTCACTTCATGCTCAGATAAATTGGTTAGCCTCTAAGGTGCCACAAGTACTCCTTTTCTTTTTGCGAATACAGACTAACTCGGCTGTTACTCTGAAACCTTTAATTGCCAAGTAACTGATTTTGTTTCAGCTCTTTCAAGCCTTGCAGCATAATTGTTCATGGCAGAGACTTGTTCTGTTTCTGGGGTTCTTTATTTATGGATTTATAAAGCAGCTATTTTGATCTGAATGCCAACAGCAGACTTGAGATTCTTTGTGCAGGTCTGTAGTGATCTGCAACAAACCTTATGGTAAAACTTTTAAATACTTTCGGATCAAATCCAAGTCCTTGTTCACCAGTATGTTTAGATGAAGCTCCCAGGCAGATCCAACCCAAACCAATCTTTTAGAAAAATCAAATGGCTTGGCAGTGTGGAACAGAGCAGAGACAGCAGAACCCAAGCAGCCTCGAACATGGTGTCTGGAGATCATGACTTTCCAAGCCACGTTTGAGTTCAGGAAAGGCTTCAGATGCACTTGAACCTTCTGCGTGGTCCGTGCAAACTGTATGGTTTTGAAGCCAGCGTATCGGCAGTGAAACTTAATGAGGGATCAGACTCTTATTTCCAAGCATGGTTCAAATCCCATGGCAGACAGGTCCTAAAGTTGCTTAACTGGCTCTCTGCTGCAATCTGCATTGAAATCTCCAGTGCACCGGAGAAGGGATTTCATGAGGGGTCTCTCTCTCTCCCTCCCTCCTGCCCTCCAGGTTGGCTGACAAATGCCCCCCTTCAGACAGTCAATTGCAAGTGCTGGGGGCCAAGGTATCTCCTGTCTGGCCTCAGAGAATAAATGGCTTTCCAAATCTGAAGCCCTTCTGCCCCTTTCTCTTCCCCAACCTGGCCCGTAGGAGTCCTTAGAAAGTTGTGGCTCTGTGAAGCAGGAATTAATGGGTTGGGGTCAGTGCCTCGTCAAAATTAAAATAGCCACTGATCTTTGGTTGCCTGGCTTGAGGCACCCTTGCTCAGCACCTCTGAAAAAAGTGAGGTCCACCTGCCACTGACTCCAGTTCTGGGCGCTCAGCGTTTTGGCAATTCAGCCAACGGTGCCTCCTGTTGGGCACCTGAAATCAGTAGCCCTTCCTGGAAAGGGTGCTCGGAATCTCCTTCCTGCAGGTTGTTCTGTAGGGGCCGCCCCTGAGGCTCTCAGAGCCCCGTGGCAGGCAGTGAGGCTCTGCACAGGCCCGGGGACCAACTTATGTGGCTCACGTTTCAGGAATAGGATCTTGGGGGTCCTACCAAGCTCTCCCACTGAATCCCCATCACGTTCCTATCCTTACTCCAGCACTCTCGGGGTTAACTGCCTAGCTTCACCATTTCTGAGCACACTGATGTCTTAGTGCGCCCATAACTCCTGCGAGTGCCACAACGCTCTGTGTGAATGGCCCTCTGTCTGGTCCAAGGTTGGGGTGGGGAGTGGTAGTGTCCCATAAACACCCCCTCCCCTCAGTGATAAGCTGCCAAAATCTTAACAACCAGTTTCCTCCTCACTCCCCCCCTGCCCCAGCTCACCTCCGCTCTGCCTCTGTCTCCCTGGGCCTAGCGCAAAACCACTACTTGCTTCTCAGTCCTCCCAGGCTTCCCGCGTGAACAGCTGATTTGCGGGAAGCAGGGCGGGGGTGTAATTCAGGGGCGGAGTGGAGGGGAGCTGGGAGGGGAGCTGCACCCACCAAATTTTCCCTGTGGGTGCTCCAGCCCCGGAGCCCCCACGGAGTTGGCACCTAAGGCACCACTTTTGGCCAGTTGTTAAATTTAGAACCGGTTCTAAAAGGGCTTCTAAGTTTAACAACCAGTTCCAGCGAACTGGCTCCAGCTCACCACTACCCCCCGCCCCCATCCTTCCCAGCATCTGAAGCTAGAATAACCCGGGCTCTGCTCACAGGAGAAATCCAAGCACCTCGAGGTGGAACTGGACGAGGAGAGGAACACGGTGGAGCTGTTGACTGACCGGATTAACCGCAGCAGAGACCAGGTAGGGGAATGTGCTCCAAAGGGAAGGGTTTGAAAACCACACCATAGCCCAGCTTCATCCAATAGGTTAATGGAGACCTGGCGTGGTGTGGGGAGGAAGGGGAGGGTGGGCCCAGTGTCCCTGCAATGGGGGAGAGACTGAGGCCCCTGGTATGGGGGGAAGAGGGGGCCAAAAAGGGAGTTTGGGGGAGAGGGAGGGATGCAAGGAGCCCCTGGGGTGTGCCCTAAGGTTGGCTGACAGACTAGCAGGGCCCACACTTCTTGGCTTCTAAGTGCCCTGTGTTGTAAGCTCTCTGAAGCACGGGCCATCGCTTCGTTCTGTGTCCGGTACAGCTCCGAGCACAGTGGAGTGCTGAGCCATGCCTGGGGCTCCTCGCTGCTGCTGCAATATGAACAATGACCAAATAACCCCTCCCTTTGCAGATGGGGAAACTGAGGCACAGAGGTGGGGACTTGCCCAGGAGCCCTGGTGCTCCAGCAGCTAGACAGTGCCCTATGACGCTGATCCTCATTTATAATTGTTCAGCGTTCCTTTCCAAGCTAGCCTCTAACACAGCACAGAGCCCGCCGGGCGCAGAGTGCAGCCCTTAGCCTTGCTGATGCTACCGTAACTGCTTCCTGGAAGCTCTCTGCTGTGGACAGACTTGCCAGAGGAACCGGGGCTTAGCTGTCTGGCTCTTGGTTCTCTCCTCCAATCTGTTCCCCAGCATCATGTCGGCGTGTGACTGAGGTAGACGCTCTGTAGCGTCAGTTGCTTCCACGAAGGACACTAAAGCAGAACTTCCCTCACTGCAACAGACACATACAAGTGCGCTATCCGTGCCCAATAGGTGCTGTTATTTTAGTCCCGTTCAGACACCGTGATGCAGTGGCTAGGACACCCAGGCATCAGGAGTCCTGGATCCTTTTTCCTAGCTCTGTGACTGAATCCACTGTGAAATCATGAACGAATCCCTTCCCCTGCCTTTTTCCTCAGCTTCTCCATCTGCAGAACTGGTGTGGGGGGGGGTGGCGGGAGAATCTGGGTAGATTCATGTCTAAACTAAGTTTCATCCTCTCAAGCAACCTCTGACTAGGAGCTACTGCCTCTTGATTGTTCCTAGAAATATTTGCTCAGTGCGAGCTTTTTTTTATTTTTCTGCTTTCCCTGCCTCCTCCTATCCTTGCCAAATAGGCAAATACAGCAACGACTTAGGGCAAATATTCCCCATTCTTGCAGGGCTTCCCTGCTTCACAGACATGCTACTAGTTCTGACTGTTGGCTGTTGATGGAGCTCCTCTGAGCTCCTGCAGACATGGTCTCTGTTGCTTTCCATCTAGCAATCTTAGCATCTCCTAAGAGTGCTCTGAAAACACGTTTGTAGCTTGAATCCCTGTAGTAACAAAACCCTCTAACGTGTGCACAAAACATAAGAGATGATGGAGTCTCTTAAAAATAAAGAGCTCATGAGAAGCTCCAGCTGCCACCAGATGCTGCTCTTCTGCATTTTGCAAACTGCTCTGCCACTGGCATAAGTCCCCTTCCCATTATCCTGCTTTTGAATTATGGGTTCCTGCTGTAACTCGTTTCTGTGGTGGCCTTCGAATGCTCCCATCTCTACCTATGTTGCTGGTTTCTGAATCCAAATTGCAGAACCCTATGGACGCTGCAAGGGCATTTTGAATTGCAAGGTGATTATTTTAATGGCACAGAGAGAACAGGCTACATACAGGTGGAATGGCTTTCTTGGCGCTTAAATTTTCTGAACAGAATTCTCCTTTTGATCTATGGCTTATTAACTTATTAGAGCCAGACCTGGAAGTGCTGTGCAGGGAACATATTTTTGAATTGCAGTCTCTATTTTGTCTGTTCTCTAATTTCTGACGCATACAATCTGAAAGCCAGCTGTCAGCCCCAAGCCAGCTATTCTGTTGTGCTAAGCCATTAGTGGTCTATGGAGAAGTTGCAAAAAGTTTGGGGACTGCCTGCCTGTTAGACTCAGTGCTTCTTAGAGCAAGGTACAACCCTGGTGTACTCTCCAAGTAGCCAGTTATTCAGACTCTACATACCTGTTACTAAATGGTCCTAAATTCTCCATCGCATGCAGCTTAAGTTAAGAGTGGATATCCCTTTCTCAGAGGTCTGCTCTAGCTTGGTACATTGGGTGAAGTTCTCTGGCCGGCGTTCATGTGCGACATCAGACTAGATCAGGGGTTCTCAAACTGGGGGTTGGGACCTCTCAGGGGATCACGAGGTTATTACATGACGGGTTGCGAGCTGTCAGCCTCCACCCCAAACACCGCTTTGCCTCCTGCATTTATAATGGTGTCAAATATATTTAAAAGTGTTTTTAATTTGTAAGGGGGGTCACACTCAGAGGCTGGCTATGTGAAAGGGGTCACCAGTTCAAAATCTTGAGAACCACTGGACTAGATCATAATGGTCCCTACTGGCCTTAACATTTACTAATCTGGGTGCCGTCAAAGTCTGAGCTCTGCATTTTCAGACTGGGAAAGTGAGGCACAGAAATGGGTTGCAATACCTGGATTGTAAGATCTTCGGGGCAGGGACTCTTTTCTTCTGTGTTCTGTGCAGCACCTTGTGCCATGTGAGGGCATGGCTAATATCCATCAGTAGGTGCAGGGGAGATGCACTGCTAATGCCCTGCAGACCACTGATGTCTTAAGAAAATTTATCCATGTGCAACAGCAGTAAGAGCCTAACTTCTCCTGCCAGGTCTTTCGGGTGTGTCTACATTAGAGTTGCCAACCCTCCAGGATTGGCCGGGAGTCTCCCAGAATATGCCTCAATCTCCTGGTGACTATTAAAGGCAATCTGGGAGATTTTAATAGGCCAAAGTCCGGTCAGCTGCACAGCAGGGCTAAGGCAGGATCCCTACCTGCCCTGGTGCTGCGCGGCTCCCAGAAACAGCCAATGGGTGGCTCCACGTGCTGCCCCTGCCCTGAGCGCCACCCATTGGTGCTGCGGAGCGGTGCCTGCAGGCAGGGGCAGTGTGCAGAGCTGCCTGGCCACCCCTCAGCCTAGAAGCCAAATGTGCCAATCGCTTCCAGGAGCCGCCCAAGGTAAATGCCGCCCAGCTGGAGCCTGCACCCTGAACCCTCTCTTGCACCCCAACTCCCGCCCGGAGCCCCCTCCCACACTCCAAACCCCTTGGCCCCAGCCCGGTGAAAGTGAGTGAGGGTGGGGGAGAGCGAGCAACTGAGGGAGCGGGGATGAAGCGAGTGGGGGTGTGGGGCCTCAGAGAAGGCGTGGTGCAGGGCGTGGCCTTGAGGAAAGGGCGGGGCAAGGGTATTTTGGGTTTGTGTGATTAGCTAGTTGGCAACCTTAGTCTACACTGCAGCTGGGACAGACTCGTGCTAACGGGGCATGGCCACTGCACTCAGAATAGCAGTGTGGACGTTGTGGCAGAGGTTCGGGCCAGTCCTCCAAGCTCAGACCCAGGGGCTAGAGAGTCCGCAGTGTTCACACAGCTGTTCGTAGAGCGCCAACGGGAGTCCGAACCTCCCAGCTGCAGTGTAGAACATCCCCGCATGGTCTCCGCTCACGTCAGCGAAAACGCCCGTCGGTTCGGCTATCCACACTGATCCGCCTCCGCCCTGCCTGGCAAAGGGAAGGGCATTGTTGGAAGGGGGCTGGCAGCAAGTCTCACGCCTGACCTTGACGAACGTTAAGAAAATAGAAAAGATCTGGCTGCTGAGTAAACAATGATCTAATCTCGCTAGGGATGAAACGTGCTGCAGCCTCTGCACAGTGTCTCGTACGCAATTAACCAGCATCAGGGACTCTGCCAAGCCATGATCTCAAGCTGGGCTGCACCCTGCTGTACATGCATCTCTTCCAGGTCCCTGGGTATTCATGGTTTCTCTAACTCACTGAACCCAGCTGCCGCAGCAGCATGCACGGCCGTGTGCTCACACCAGCCACGGGGAATGGACGGCAGCTGAGAATGGTTTCCCTTTTTAATGATGCTTTGTTCCGTCCCTGCCGCCAGTTGCCAATGCGGGCCTGCAACCCACCAAAGATTTATCCCCCTGAGGACCGCAAGCTTCAGTTGAAGACCTAGCATGGAGCAGTGGCTTAAGCAGGGTGGGCCTATGGGTGAGGGTTTGACGTCTTCCATGTCATGGCCTAGTGGCTGATCTAGATAGCCCAGCCTTCTAGTATCGGTTTGTAAAACAGGGATACGCCTTCTGTCCTGCTTACTCAGACCGAACTCTGCGGGGGGGGACTTCGTACAGCGCCTGGCACAAAGGGGCCCTGGCACTGGCGGAGGCCCCCTGGCTATTCTACAGAGAACTAGAATCTTCGTACAGTCACTTTCAGCTCCCACGGAACCCACATTAATGTAATGGAACCACAGTGCCCGCTACTTGTCATGTTTTATGGGCCAGCCACTCCAGACTGCCACTGGTGTGACTCCGTTGATCATGAGGGACGTGGGCTGAACTGAGAATTCGGCCCTGGCGCCTTTGATTTCCCCAAAAATGCCAATTGTGCCTAGCTTCTGTTGGCTTTGGGAATGTACAGCCCCCCTTGAAATGCAGTGCTGCCTCTAATCCTTACAGCCCTCCACAGGAAAGGCAGGCTACAAGTGGGGAAACTGAGGCACACCGTGGGGAAGGGACTCGGGACGTGTGTAATAGCCAAGATTAGAACTCGGAAGTTCCTGAACTGTCCCGCCAGTCCTCTGACTGGCTGTATCCATGAATGACCTCAGGAATCTTAGCTGTCTGCCAGGGAGAGAACTGCCACTGGCTGAGAGAAGACACACCATTCTGACCAGAAATAACCCCTAAACAAAACCTACCTTCCTTCCTCCAGATTGACCAGCTGCGTGCAGAGCTGCTGCAGGAGCGCTCCAGCCGGCAGGACCTGGAGTGCGACAAGATCTCCCTGGAGAGGCAGGTAAGGCTGTGATCGGATGTGGGATTTGGACACCTCTTTCAATGCTGGCAGCCGGTGCTGCTTGGGATGTGCTGCTGCACGGCTCTGCCTCTCCTGGAGCTAGCCCTGCTGTCTGCTTGGGTAGCTAATGGCTGCTCTTGTGGTTTCTTGCAAATGCCGAGACGTCAAGGGGTTGCAAGTCTGCCCCCTCCCGCAAGTGACAACACTAGAAAATGTATTTAGACCAGCTTGCTCTTGTGACTTGGTTGATCATCTTGCTCTGATCCTGGAAAAGCTTCCTCACCCAGAGATCTATCTGGCGGTGGAAGGGTCCCCAAAGGAGAGGGGTGGAAGCCTCCTTTGCTTGGGAGTTTTAAAACTAGGCTGGAGAGAATGCTGCCCCAGGTGGGGAGTGGGGTCACCTGGAGCAATAGGTCTGCCCCATTGCTACTGCCCACAATGTGATGGTCTTAGCTCATCACCGGCATACTTTTTCTATGCAAGACCGACTCTACTGGTCCCACTTGTTTTTCTTTATCAACAAAAGTCCCCCAACCCCTTCTACGCTATTTCACAGTCTCCCATGCCACCCCCACCCTCATCCCATAAAGCTGTCACCTCTCGTTAGCACCCTCAAAACCTGCCTCTGCAGTGACACCTCCTGTCTGGTGCTGTCAGGCCAGGACACCTGCTGAACTCTGCTTGTTCTGTTGTTTGATCCTCATGTTGCGTCCATTTCATCCACCTGGGGGAAGCAGCGACTCTGAAAAAGATCTGGGAGTCGTGGTGGGTGACCAGCTGAGTGTGAACTCCTGGTGTGATGCTGTCGCCAAAAGGCTAATGCAGTCCTGGGAGGCATAAATGGGGGAATCTCAGGTGGGAGTCAGGAGGTTATTTTACCTCTGTACTGGGCACTGATGCGACTCCTGCTGGAATCCTGTGTCCAGTTCTGGCACCCACAGTTCAAGGAGAATGCTGATAAATTGCAGAGGGGTCAGAGAAGAGCCACATGAACGATTAAAGGATTAGAAAACCTGCCTGAGAGTGATAGACTCAAAGAGCACAAACTAGGTAACTTAACAAAGAGGTTAAGGGGTGGCTAGATTAAAACACCCACATGGGGAACAAATATTTAATAATGGGCTCTTCAGTCTAGCAGAGAAAGGTCTAAGACGATCTAATGGCTGGACGTTGAAGCTAGACAAGTTCAGACTGGAAATAAGGTGTAAATTTTTAACAGGTGGGTAACTAACCACTGGAACAATTTACCAAGGGTTATGGTGGATTCTCCATCACTGACAACTTTTTGAATCAAGACTGGATGTTTTTCTAAAAGCTCTGCTCTGGGAATTATTTGGGGGCAGTTCTCTGGGTCATACAGGAGGTCAGACTAAGTGATCACCCTGGTCCCTTCTGGCCTTGCAATCTGTGACCTGTTGTGTCATTCTCGATATCTCAGTCTCAAGCTCTCTGCGGAAGGGATGGTCTGTCTGTCTTCCTCGCCTGCCCAGCGTCTAACACAAAAAGGAACCCCGGTCAAGGATCAGGGGCCATGTTACCATAATAGAAACAATAAATATACGCTGTGGTCCCAGCCTGTCTATGCAAAGAAGAGTCTGTATCCCGGTCCTCTCTTCCCCCTCTCTCATCTGCATCCCAAAGTATGACTGTATGATTGGGGGCGGGAGGGATAGCTCAGTGGTTTGAGCATTGGCCTGCTAAACCCAGGGTTGTGAGTTCAATCCTTGAGGGGGCCATTTAGGGATCTAGGGCAAAAATTGGGGATTGGTCCTGCTTTGAGCAGGGGGTTGGACTAGATGACCTCCTGAGGTCTCTTCCAACCCTGATAGTCTATGATTCTATGATCTCTATGCCAGATGCGACACAGTCCCTGCTCCAGTGGGCCCTGTTTGGTGTCTCTGGGAGCTACTGGAATATGAGCAGAAAAATGCTGCGAGTGGCTGAAGTGTTTAACCTCCTTTCCAAGCAGGGACAGAGTCGGAGATCCTCAGGATTTCTTCTGGCAGCATCGTTGCGCCTCCTGCCAGCGGCTCTGCGATCCCTCCTGTGGCATTCCAAAGGCTGCTAGGATAATAAGGGGTGTCTCCTCTCCTAATCTTCACTCTTAATTTTCAGTTTATTGCACACACCCAGCTCGGGGGGGGCCCCAGGCGTGTTGCACCTTGGAGCTCTTAATGGACATGATTTTCTAATCCCCTGGAACTCCCATAAACCTCTCCCCGCCTGCAGGGGAGTGAGGCTAGCTGTGTGCCCTGGGAGGCTGAGAACCTTGGGCTTGGCCTAATTCTTAAAGGGGAAGCTGTAGCTCATGAAAGTTTATGCTCAAATAAATTTGTTAGTCTCTAAGGTGCCACAAGTCCTCCTTTTCTTTTTGTGGATACAGACTAACACGGCTGCTACTCTGAAACTTAAAGGGGAAGAGGAATTTATAGGTGAAATGCAGGGACTGTCGGCGAAAGGAGGGTGGGGAGTCCTAGATAGCAAAGCAGATCTCTGAGACAGCCAAAGCACTAAACTATCTGTGTGCCCAGCCTAGGAGACTCGCTCCCAGCTGCAGCGTAATACAGTGCCCCAAACGGCCTTCAGTGGAAGCAAACTCTGCAGCAATCCATGGAGGTGTTGTACGAGCCTGTGCCACAAGGGACTGCCGGAGAGCAGCTATGTAACTCTCTGCCCTGCCTTAACTCTGAGAATAACTGTCCGCTGTGTTTTGTCCAGCACTGTGACCCTCCCAAGGCCCCTGCCTCCCCCACGGCTATGAGCCAGGGCATCTCGTTAGTGCTGCCTAGAACCCTGCAACAGAGCTCAAGCGTTAAGCTGTTGGGGTTTGTTCTTAACCTGGTTGCAAGGGTGCAGTGAGCTCTTGTTGCAGGTTGTCGTGCAGTCAATATTCTCAGGTCTCCTGGCTCCTTTGTAGATATGGAGATGGGGCCTCTATGGGCAGGCTGATGCCCTTTGCCTTTCCAGGAGAAGGGAGGCCCTGAGCTATTGGGGTCCAAGAGGCAGCTCTCTCCTGCCGTCCCGGAATGCTGACCTCGCTGCCAGGAGCCGTTCCTGAAGGCAGGGAGAGGGAGGGCTTGGGGTGGGAGGCTTTGTCACCTGCCATCCACAAGAAACTCTTGGGGTTTGAGTTCAGAGACTGGGACCTGGCTAGGCACAGAGCTGGAGTGGAGGCTGAGGTGCCGGTGGCTTTGTCTCTCTTCTGGATACTGAGGCTACCGGAGCTAAAGCTGCACCCAGGACAGCTCTAACATGCACCTTGGCTGCAACAGGGCCCCATGTAGCAACATCGTCTAGCCGGAGGGCAGAGTTCTTTGCCCTCGCTCCTTCCTTCCTTAGACACGCTTAGGGGGGATGTGGCACAGAGCATCTCCACCAGTCTTATGCCGGGGCAATCGGCAGTGGGGCTGGGCAGAAACACAGACCTGAGGTCTGCCGTCAGACGTCACTGGTGTGGTGCTCTGTTCAATGTTGATAACAGTCGGCTGCGTGCGTGTGTTCCCTCTGTGTGCTGCCCTGGCTCTGCAGATCACTGACGCAGCAGACCCCAAGAGAATCCCCAATGACCACGGACTCCAATAAGGTACCAAGACACCCGGCCAGGTTTATTGTCAAATGAAGCACAGGAATGGTTCCCCACAGACACTACAGGACATAGTACGAATATGAGCCCCCGACAATGAACCAGCTAGTCCGTGGTGGGACACTCCACTGCCCCCTAGGCCGGACAAAGACAGCCCCTCAGGGGTGCATTCTGATACACGGGTACAAACAAGTTACACATCACTCCTGACGCATTGAGGTGCAACCCTTCTACGTAGCAAGGTACAACCCCTCTATGCAGTAAGGTGCCGCCTCTCACCTTGTTCATGTTGGTTCGAACAAAACAACTCTATCCATCATAGTATTCTTTTGCCCTTGTCTTTAGGATGAGTCAACCTGTTCCTTGTTATCTGTGTGGAATGTGCAAGTATCGGAGTGTTCTGGTACCGTCCTAGCATATGTTTATCTCTCTAGCATCCAGTGCCTTGTAGGTTTGTGTATTTTTGCAACATCAGCCCTTTCCTTGCCAGCTTCTGTGAGCCGGGCCTGCCTCCGGCTCGCAGCTTAACTTTGCTTTATATTAGCAAAGTCTTGACCATTACTTTAGTTCAGGCCTTAGGCCTCAGGCCTCATACCGGGCCTCTGATGTAAGGGTTTATGTTTCAGGGCTTCATCTTACTACAAGGCCCACATCTTCAGGGTCTATCTGCAGACCCAAACTGACTCATGGTTCAAATCCATTTGGAGCCCCAGAACTCATTGACCCGTGCTTTAGAGGAACCGGGCGACTTAAGACGAAATCGCGCCGATGCCTCCTAGACAGCTTTCCCTGCCGCGATGCACCTTAATTCGTAGATAGGCTCTTAATTCCAAAGTTCTTTAAAAAACGTGGTGGTAAACTACAGCCTGGACTGCTGTAAACATGCAGCAGCTACCTGCCCAGACTTGTGTTGCCAAATGCTCTGCTACACAAGCGTGTGCTGGCTCAAAAAAGCAAATCCTTCAAGCTGTTCTTGTTCTCTGCATGTAATTAACAGGGACAAAACAACACTCGGCTTGAGCTGCTGACTTCAGGTAGTGCAAAAAGTCACAAAGTTCCCTGCAGTGCATCGAGCTCATTCTTCAAAAGTTTTCAGCCTTATTTCTCCCTCCTGGACGTTGCCAGTTACCGAGGCGTGTTTAATATTGGCGTTGTCTCTGCTGTCGCTTCGTGTGGAGCAGGCTAGAGGAGCTCTGATGGCTCTTAGGGAAGGAGGTGAAGCTGGCAAATTTAGCTCTTTGGGCTGAGGAAGCTATTAAATACACTGGTCATTAATATCTGAGTTCTGCACTGGATTGTGTCCCCGCCAGGAGAGCTTTGGCTTGCTGCTAAACCTGTATCCGTACAGGACTGTGGGCAGGTAAACTCCATTCTGTGGGGGAGGTGTGCGGTTTTTCCTGCTGATTGTGATGGAGCATTGGGAGGAAGAGCCTAAATGGAGATGTAAGCTATTCCCTGGCCTGTGATCCCCAGTCAGCATGTTCTGACAGCATTGGCTTTGCAGAGCGGGAGAACTGTCTTCACCTGTTTTGAGCGCTTGAATTCCACACACAGCTTTAAACTACGCTCAGTTGGGAACATTTTTAATGCAGGAAAAATGATTGCCATTATATAACCCTACGCATTAAGCTTCCTATTTGTGAAAGGGATTTCGCAGAGCTTGACTCACTGCCGAGGTTTACATAACGCTCCGTTCTTTCTCTGTTTGTTTATAAGGCCAACTTTCTCACTCTGCTGCTGGCTGTTGGTTTCTTGGGTGACTAATCAGGTGTAATTTCTCCCATCAGAACAAAGACCTGAAAAGCCGACTGGCCAGCTTGGAAGGCTTGCAGAAACCGAGCGCCAGTTTGTCTCAGCTGGAGTCGCGGATCCAGGAACTGCAGGATAAGCTACAGGCAGAAGAGAGGTAAAAGATGTGGAAACAGTAATTGGACCTGGCCCCGTCTGGCAGAAGAGCACAAAGCACTCAATGCTAAGCCCTTGTCTAAACACAGGTTATATCGCTCTAACAGTATAGAGAGCTACAACCCTTCCCTTCACACCCCCCAGAGCGGATGCAGTTCGACCAGGATAGCTGTTCCTCTGTGGAAAGGAGAATAAGCTATACTGGTATAACTGTGTCCGCACTAGGGGTTGCACCAGTATAACCGTATCAGTAAAAATTCATCCCTGAACTGACAGCCAGCCTTAGTTTACACTGGAAAGTTTTACCAGTATAAGTGTCTCGGCCCCTCTGCACAGAGAGGGAGGGAATCGCCACCCCCAGTTTATAGATAGGGAAACTGAGGCATACAACAGGCATGTGACTCCTCCGATGTCTGTAGCAGAGCTGGTATTGGTGTATAGGAATGCTTACCCACCCCCACCCCGACATGCACTACCCAGAAAGCTCAAGGGTCTTTGCACAGAACTGCAGTTTCAGGGGAGTGCATGGGTTCTCGCCCCATCTGTGCCCTGATCTTGCTTTGCAGCCTCAGGAAGGGGTTTCATTCGGTAATACTGGTGTTGCTCCGTGGGACTTCACGCCCAGAATCCTCTCCATCCTGAGCCCCACTTCTCTCACTCGCGCCCCTTTTCAAAACAGACCTCGGCCTGATCTGCCTCCCAGGCACCTCCCCAGGCTTAATTTCGTAGTAACCACTTTCAGGAGAGCTCAGAGGTTGCGTAAGTGTCATAGATTCATAGATGTTTAGGTCAGAAGGGACCATTATGATAATCTAGCGTCAACAACATTCCCGTGCAAAGTGGCGCGAGAATGTGCGGTTAACCCTTTAACTGGCACGTGCGAGTTCAGCAGCAGTCTGGTACCAAGCGTGGCAGCCTGGAACTGACTCCCGATCAGTGCGGGTGTGGAGGAGGCTGTCTGCCATATCGAATCAGAAGCCTTTCTCCTAGCTGGCAGGAGAGGGCCAGTACCTCACTTACCTATGCTTCTGGCTGGGTTTGAACTACCCTAGTGGCACGAGGCAGAATAACCAGCTGTGCAGACAGCCCCTGCTACAGGGCTCTCCACAGCAAGAGCAGCCGTTGCCAGGTTTAAAAAAATGGTGAAAAGAAAACCATCTATGCGGTGGGTCACACTCAGTTAATACCAATTTTTAAACTGATTTTAGCTAAACCGCTTCAACCCCCATGTGGATGCCCTGGTTTCAGTTTGAGCATTCCCCAATGTGAACGTTTTTTATTTAAAATGTAAATACATTGAAATCTGAGTGTTTTAACAGAATTTGGTTTAAAATAACCGCTGAAATGCATGTCTCTCACGTAGACAAGTCTCTAAAGACTGCCTGGTGGGGGGGGGGGGGAAAGAGGGGGTGTGTCCCTATCTCAGACTAGAGTTTTAAAAACAGGCATTCCTAATTGGTGTAACTCACATGGCTGAATCGGCTCATTGTTTGCTGCCTAGTGTTATGCAGTGGAAAAATACATCATCCAGAAGGTGTGGCACTGATCGTTGCTGTGTAAAAGGGGACTGAGACACTCAGCCATCCACAGGCAACTCTTCTCCAGCTCAGGTTGGCATTGTCAGAGCCACCCCTCTTGGATGCTGACCTGTGTGCACAATAGGCTTGACGTAGTGCTTGGCATTGCGTAATAACCTTGTTGGTGGCGTCTGGGGGAAGCGTGCCCAGCGCTATCTGCCTTGGAGCTGTCCCTGTTGTAGATAAACAGGGTGTCTGCTTCCAGGCGTGTCACCCTGGCACCTTGAACCAGAACTAAATCCTCGTGCACCCTTGTAATTTTTCTTGAGCCAAATCTAATTTTTGAAGGTAGCTCGTCCCAGGTCATTGTGGGCGCAAGTCATGCTGCCCTCAAAGGGCAGAGGGAAGGGGTGGCCTAGTGGTTAGGGTGCTGCACTGGGACTCAGAGGTTCTGGGTTCAAATCTCAGCTCTGTCTCTGACTGCTTGTGTGAGCTGCAGCTAGGCGCTTTATCTCTCTGGGTCTCAGTTTCCCTGTTCAGACTGTGAGCTCTCTGGGGTACGGGCTGTCTGTGCAGCACCCAGCACCAGAGTGGGCTCAAGTCTCAATAGGGGCTTCTGGGGGCCACCATAAGGTAAACTGATCCTGTGTGCGTCTGAGCGGAGCAGCGGCTGAGCTGTGCCCAATGTGCTTTCAGGGAAAAGAACGTCCTGGTGTCCTCAAACCGCAAACTGGAAAGGAAAGTGAAGGAGCTGACAATCCAGATCGACGACGAAAGGCAGCATGTGAATGACCAGAAGGACCAGGTGTGTAGATGACATTATATTGTCTTCCCCCCACCCCCGACCACCCCACACACTCTGACTCTTGGAGCTGCCCTGGGGCATCACTCTCATCCCTCCATTCTTGTCTTCCAATTTTTATTTGTTTAAATGGCTTCCACAGCCTCTGGCACCTGCTTGGCAGACAAATGGGGAAATCTCAGCCAAGTTGGCTCTGTGCAGCCGGAAAGGTGTAGGGGGGTGGGTGTGTGTGTGTGTGAGACCCTTTACACTGCTGATCCCAGCTCAGCTGCTGAATAGCACAGACTCTAGAACATCAGCTCTGTGTGTGTGTGTGTGTGTGTGTGTACATGCATGTGTGTTTGCATATGCGTGTTTGTACATGCGCTTTCAGACAGTGATTTGGCTCCAATTCAGGGCTGATCTCTCCTACTGGCCAATCCAATCTGGGTACCAATGGAAACCATGGGTCAGACCCACGGATCTGATCTTGGCTCATCTCCCACACATCTCCTCTCTGCTCCTTCACGCAGCATCTTTCTCTTCTTGGTGCAAGAGCCATCCCCCTTTCCAGCTGCAGCCACCCCATTCTCTCTGCCTCATCAAGCCCCTCCCGCCCCCCATCCTGATTACAGCCTAATATTTTGGTGTCTCCCCGTCTCATGTCCTTTTAGGGCATGTGGGGCAGGGTTTTGGGGGAAGACCCCATGCAGAATAGTCCTGTAGAAGCATTTTAAGAATCCGCTTCAGCTTCCTGGTCTCTGTTGCCACTCCGTCTTGCCTAATTACGGCTGGTCTGCCATCATATCTCCCAAGCCTGCTCTTCGTTTTCGGTTCTCTGCTCCCCCCTTTGGCCTACTTGAGCTGCTCTCTTGGTGTTGGGGGCAGATCCTTTAGGTTCTACTGACCGTGCCTCCCCGTGGCTCGCTGAGAACAAAACATGAGGGAACAAAAACACCCCTCTCGTTGCCTGACTAAACTGAGCCACTAGCCAAGATCTGCCTGCATACAGCATGTCTTGGGTGGCGTTCCCAGAGCCAGAAGCTTCCACACATAATACACTGGTAGGACAGTAGTTTGCATCTTCTCCACCCGGATTCCTTGTGGAGAAAGTCCTAATCACGCCTGGTTTCCTCAAGCTGTGGCTGATGCATGTGGCACAGTGGAGTGCGGATGGATCTATAGGAGTGTAAGGAGATAGGATAGCATCTGTCCATGGTGCAGAGGGAGCCTGCCCATGTACAGTAACTTAGAAGACTGTACGAATTCTGATCAGTATCTGAGCATCTTTATTTCTCCCCTTCCCTCCCACAAACCTCACTTCTGTCCATGGAGCTGACTCCATACTCAAACAAAAAAATCTTCCTTCCTGTCCTGGATGCTTCTTAACCCTCTAGAAGTCTCTCTTCCCTGCAGAGCTCGCCTGGGCTCTTAGCCAGGTGTGGACCCTGGTCCCCCTCCCACAAAACCCTCTCACCCAAGTTTGGTGCTTCAGAATCATAGAAGATTAGAGCTTGAAGAGACCTCGTGAGGTCATCTAGTCCAACCCCCTGCTCAAAGCAGGACCAACACCAACTAAATCATCCCAGGCAGGGCTTTGTCAAGCCAGGCCTTAAAAACCTCTAAGGATGGAGATTCCACCACCACCCTAGGTAACCCATTCCAGTGCTTCACCACCCTCCTAGTGAAAAAGTCTTTCCTAATATCCAACCTAGATCTTCCCCACTGCAACTTGAGACCATTGCTCCTTGTTCTGTCATCTGCCACCACTGAGAACAGCCGAGCTCCATCCTCTTTGGAACCCCCTTTCAGGTAGTTGAAGGCTGCTATCAAATCCCCCCTCACTCTTCTCTTCTGCAGACTGAAATAAGCCCAGTTCTCTCAGCCTCTCCTCATAAGTCATCTGCCCCAGCCCCCTAATAATTTTCATTGTCCCCACTGGATTTTGTCCAATTTGTCCACATCCCTTCTGTAGTGGGGGGCCCAAAACTGGATGCAATGCTCCAGATGTGGCCTCACCAGTGCCAAATAGAGGGGAATAATCACTTCCCTGGATCTGCTGGCAATGCTCCTACTAATGCCGCTCAATATGCCATTGGCCTTCTTGGGAACAAGACTGACTCATATCCAGCTTCTCATCCACCGTAATCCCTGGTCCTTTTCTCAGGAACTGCTGCTTAGCCAGTTGGTCCCCACCCTGTAGCAGTGCATGGGATTCTTCCATCCTAAGTTCAGGACTCTGCACTTGTTGTTGAACCTCATCAGATTTCTTTTAGCCCAATCCTCCAATTTGTGTAGGTCACTCTGGACCCTATCCCTACCCTTCAGCTTATCTACCTCTCCCCCCAGCTTAGTGTCATTCGCAGACTTGCTGAGGGTGCAATCCATCCCATCATCCAGATAATTAATGAAGATGTTGAACAAAACCCGCCCCAGGACAGACCCCTGTGGCACTCCATTTGATGTCTAGCTGCTAACTAGACATCGAGCCATTGATCAACTACTTGTTGAGCCTGACAATCGACCTGTATAGTCCATTCATCCAATCCATACTTTTTTGACTTGATGGTAAGAATACTGTGGGAGACCGTATCAAAAGCTTTGCTAAAGTAAAGATATATCACATCCGCTGTTTTCCTCATAGCCACACAGCCAGTTATCTCATCATAGAAGGCAATCAGGTTAGTCAGGCATGGCTTGTCCTTGGTGAATCCATGTTGACTGTTCCTGATCACCTTCCTCTCCTCCAAGTGCTTCAAAATGGATTCCTTGAAGACCTGCTCCATGACTTTTCCAGTCTGCTTTTCTGAAGTCCAGGGTCCGTATTCTGCTGCTCTCCTTTTGTCAGGATCCTGAACTCGACCATCTCGTGGTCACTGCTGCCCTGATTGCCACCCACTTCTACTTCCCCTACCAATTCTTTCCTGTTTGTGAGCAGCAGGTCAAGAGGAAGACGGACCCTAGTTGGTTCCTCCAGCACTTGCACCAGGAAGTTGTCCCCAACACTCTCCAGAAACTTCTTGGATTGTCTGTGCATTGCTGTATTGCTCTCCCAGCAGATGTCAGTGTGATCATGCCGGCCTGGGTGCGGGTGAGGGCTCAGGTTCCACTTCGAAATGAGGATGCAGGCTGTACGCCTGATAGTGCTGACAGACCTCCACTGCCTTCCCACAATTCCCCCCACATCCCCCCCTATGCCCAGAAGGCCAGACAAGTTCTCCCACAATTCACTGGGAAAGAATCTAGAGCAGCTCCGCTCGCCGCAGAGCTAAGGACTGTGGGATGTGCCCCTGCGAGTCCTAGTGTGTCTAGGCTCTTATCCTGCTCGCAACCTCCAGAGCGGGCTGAGCATGGCTGGTTCCCGGCTTGCTCTGGCCTCCTTCAGCACCAGGACACTGCTGTGGCTGTGAATGGCTCTTGCTGCTAGCAGAGGCCCGGAGCGTCCTGGGGCAGGAGGAGAGGGGTAGAGGTGGGGGTGAGGTCCCTCCAGCACTGCCCTGGGTGTCCGGATCTAGGTGGCATCCTCCCAGCGCCACAAGCCAACATGCCCCTCCCCTTACGCCCCCATTGCTCTGCCCCACGCAGCTAAGCCTACGCGTCAAGGCGCTCAAGCGCCAGATGGACGAGGCCGAGGAGGAGATCGAGCGCCTGGAAAGCGCCAGGAAGAAAGCGCAGCGGGAGCTGGAGGAGCAGCACGAACTCAACGAGCAGCTGCAGAATCGCGTCAAAGCCCTGGAGAAGGAGGCCTGGTAGGCAGTGGGTGCGGTGGGTGGTCAGGTGTGTCCCAACTGTGTGCTGCAGAATCCCCTCCTTAGCCTGGTGTCCTAGGGGTCCCCACAGGTAAGGAGCTCCTGGAACAATACGCATCCCAACTTAGCTCTTCTCCGTACCAGTCTCCCTATGCGGCCGGCTGAAGCCCTAGCTTATCTTCCAGCAGAAATGTGACCATAGAAAACTCCCCCTTGAGGAATAATCGCAGGCTGCCTGTCCCCTGCCCTCCTTCCAGCCCTGTAGCTAGGCATAGCTCTGCGCTGGGCGCGCCGAGGAAGATCTGCTCTCGGAGAGCAGGAATCTGGTCTAAGCGACCTCCCCGATGCAGAGCGGCAGTGTGCCCATAATCTAAGCCATGCTCCAGTGCCCTAGCGAGGGTCGTTCACACTGAGCCTGCGGCCAAGGGAAGTCCGTAGCGCGGTGTGCAGGGATAGTCAAACAATCCTGCCCCGGTCCCGCTGAGAGTCAAGCGAAGGCTGGGCACTGACCTGCCCCAGCTCCATGGAAGTCTCAGCCCAGCAGGCTTGGAACGGTTCCTTTCCGGAATTTCATTGATCTTTTCATCTCATTGCTGCCCTCTAACACAGTGTTTGGGGTGCAGGGTGTCCAATCAGGGCTGTGGGCAGATGGGAGCTCCTGATTTAGAGCAGGGATCTCCCCGTTGCTCTAGGCCCTAGTGGGAATCAGCCAGCCGGGGCCAGAGAGCAGGGCCAGGTAACCGCAGCCATTCACTGGCTCGTCCTCTTCCCACCCAGGCGCAAGGCCACCCGCTCGGCTGCAGAGGCCTCCCTGGACGACGACCGCCTGAGCTCGGACGAGGAGTTTGACAGCGCCTACGGCCCGTCCTCCATCGCCTCGCTGCTGACGGAGGGGAACCTGCAGACCAGCTCGTGCTAGCAGCTAGCGCGGGTCGTTAACTGGCTCCTGGGGTGTGCCCTTTTCCCCACAGTCAGAACTACTTCGGGCTCCTTGAGAGGCAGGTGCAGGGCGTCATTCCATGGGGAAGCGTCCCCTATCCACTGACGTTCCAGTCCCTTTAGGAGGAAAAACAACACCCTGGAGGCCAGCGATCCTTGGATTGGAGTTGGCTGACACATGCGTCCTTTCCAAAAAGCAGCTAACTGGAGAGGAGCCAGGAGCAGAAGAACTGAGAACAATGTGCAGGAAGGTTTTCTGCTTAAATTGGGAGGGAGGGTGGGGCAGAATTGGGTGTTAAGATCCCCAGAAAATTCTATTTAATCTGTTTTTCTCTGTGATTCTCAGGGCACTGCTTAAATTCCAGATGTTTCGTATCTTAACCAAATGTTTGTCTGTATACTGGGGGTGGGGGGTGGAAACAGATGTGCAATAAGGCAGGATGATATTCTGTGGCTCATAAACAAGAGGTGAACCTGTCTCTTCAGGCACCGTGGGAGTTCACTTTTCTCTGCCAGAAGGGGAAGCATGGTAGGTTACCGTCAGTAACCAGAGTCTGAGGAGACGGTCCGGGTGTGTGGGAAAGCTGGGTTCTGCTCTGAGAGTGTCTTTAATGTCTACAGACAACCTCATGGAGTCCTGGGTCTAAAATCCAGCGGCTGCTTTTTCCAGGACTTTTGCAGCTTTCATTTCCTCACGCCCTGTTAAAGAGAAATTCCTGGCCAGCCCATCAATCCGTGGGGCCTACGTGCTGCTCTTCCCTTCTCTTCATTCTTTGTGAGCACGTGGCTGCGCTGAAGGATGGCTCTGACTTCGTAATGACTGAGGATGGGGAGTGGGAGCCTCAGGCTTGCGAAACTCTATGGGGCTAGTGTGCTTCACAAGGGACTCTGTTGGCACATTTTTGGCCCTTTCTGTTGGCCCTGCTCTGGGGGAGGAGGCCAAGGATGGGGATGTAGGTCAGGAAAAGTTTGAGATCGCCCAGGTTGACTGGGACCCCAAGGGTTCATGGCCTGTGTGAGAGGAAGTGGTGGGTCTTGGTCCAGTCCCCAGCTGTCAGTGACATTACACTAATCCCGTCGCAACTGGCCCATGGAGGAAGAAGTAAAACAGGTTTTGGAATAGCTGAGATTTTTATCTGACATGATAGCACTTTGTTGTTGAAACTAATGAGCATGAGAGCTTGCCTCCACCTGTCTGAGCCGAGCGATCAATCACGAAATGAGGCATGACCCTGGGGGTCCATCCAGGGCAGGGCTGCCTGGCCATCCTGTCCACATTCTGCTGTCCTGTATAAAGGGACATCCAGTCTCCAGGGCTGTCTCCAATGCAGTTAATAACAAACACCTGGGGTCTGCCTGCTGGGGGCCCCTCCTATCTTGCACCTCTCCAGCAGTTTCTCGCGTCTGTTTTTTGGCAATAAACCAGCCAGGGAAAGCAAACCCCTGCCTTTGGAAGCACGTGTGCTGCGGATGTTAATGAAAAGCAGGGGCTGTACTGGCCTTGATGGGCTGAGCAGCCAAATTCTCTCACCTTCAAGCTCCTCCATGTCCCCAAACGCTGCTCCTGCTTCACTCACCCAGCTGCAGTTGTAATCAGTGGAGTGTGAGCTGGGCTGGGCTGTAATATATCCAGCCTATTCAGAGAGGAAAGAACAATACTGGGCCAGCCCTGCTTGAGACCTATGTATCCTTGAAACGAACCTGCCTTTCAGCTCCCATTGAGCCTCGTTTTGTAGCTGAATTTGCACCTGTTCCTAAAGTGCTGCTTTATAGATTGGGAACATATGCGGGGCAGGGGGGCATTTCCACTAAGTGTGTGACCCCCCCCCCCCCCCGCCGCTTCTGTTGTGGGTTGAGCTGCTAACATCTCAGTCTCCCTCTGTTACCTTTTTAAACTTCACCAGCTCAGGGGTTTCAGAGCAATTTGAAAGTCAGGCCTTGACCGTCGTGCCTTAATGGGGAGTGTCCAGTGGGGGAAACTTAGTCCAGTGAATTTCTGCTTGGAAGCGGACTTGGAGGTAGAACATTTAAACATGCCTATGTTTTAAAATAACCCCATTTAACATGCACGTGCCCCCTGCTTGAGGCAGCAAGAGACAGGAGCAGGGGTGGGGAGGTGACAAATACACCCTGATGCTCGGTCTGAGCTCAAGGGCTAACAAAAATCCCCAATGCCCAAATATAGCCATTGCCTTGTCTTGCATGATTTCAGCTTCCACTAGTGTTCACGCCCTTCTGCTCCCAACAGGGGCCTTGCTTGCTTGCCCTGCCTTGCTCGGCATGCTGCCCTAGAGCAGGTCTCCGTAGCCACGCGGATGAGACGGTGCTTTGGATGCTTGTTTTTTGTCCTGATGTTTGGTTCGAACGTCTGCAGCTATGGGCCTGGCAGTTCGCAAAACGCCATGGGAACAGCAAGTCCTCGGAGTTCTCATCTGCTCCATGGCAGCGTGCTGGTCACGCAGCCCAGAGAGCCACTCTGAGGCTTGCTTGGACCATTTAAATAGCTTCCCCTAATTGGGACCTCCCAAAGCTGCTGATCTAGATGTAAAAGGTGTTTGGCTCTAGTGTTTCCAGGCGAACATCTCCCCCCCCGAAAACAAACACTCAGTAGATAAATTCTGCAAGATGCATCTCAGGTCATCGACAAGCCACTGCTGTCACCTTCTCCTGGGATGCAGTGGTTCAGAGACACCTTTGCAATCTTTCAACCTACCCCAACCAGCTCCAGCTCTCCACCATGAGGCTTTGGGGAGGAATCTGCTCAGGGAGCCAAGTTTTTTCTTGTTTAGAGGCTGCCGCCACTGAGGAAGAGCAGGTGAATCAAGGCTTGACTTACAAATCAAGGCTACATCGTCTGCTGGCGTGAAGGGGAGTAGCTCCATTGCCGTGGATGGAAGACCGCAGATCTGCACCAGCTGAGCATCCAACCCCAGCTTTCAAACAGCTGGATTTTCAGCTGATCTTGGTGGGTTGGGTCTCTTTCTCTCTGGATTTTGATTGGGACTCTTCACACTGGGCACTTAATAATTGAAACAAAGTTTCCTTGTTAAAACACCCACAGATGGGTGGGGGGAATCTTCTCCCCCCCCCCACACACACACACAGCCTACCCCCTAAAAAGCCCTGGTTGGGTGCAGCTGTATCATGACGACAGCCTGAACCTGTTATGCTCTGTGACTGTAGGAATGTGCCCATTGCAAAGGAGCTGGAGCGAAGGTTTCACTAACTAGGTTGCCATCCACACCTTTTGAGGGCTGTCCTGTTTCACTCTCCATCTGCAGGGCCTGGGTGGGTTTCGTTGCAGGCAGCCCCCGCCTTCTGCGCCTGGCTTTGCTCCTCCTCCAAACCCGCCTGATCCGGAGGGGGCTGCAGAGAGGGAACTAACCAAGAGCATTTCTCCAGAGCTCTGAATCCCAGGGTAGTCTCCCTAGACAGCAGATGCCTCATCGGGGCTCTATTGGTGGATGCAGAGACCCACCCCTTGCACTGTTACGGGCAAGCTGCTCAGTGAAGCAGCAGCTTCAAAAGGGAGGTTGTAGGGGTGGAATGAGGAGATGGAATTTAAGGTTCCCTTCCCCCACCAGCCGTCAAAGTAATGGGACGTGAGACTCTCGAGAAACAGCCATAGATGAGCTGTGTGGCTCATGGAGCAAGAAGATGGTCCTCCCAGCAGAGTTTTGGGGTTTGTTTTGTTTTTGTTTTTTTGAGATCTAACATACCTCCCACTTCAGGAGCCTGATGGGAGCCAGCCCTGCTTCAGAGCTGCTAAGGGACTCACGGACGTTCATTACAGACCCTAGCAGCAGGCGTGGGTGTGGCTGGTTGGAGTGAGTGACACTAGGCCGGGACCAGCTCAGTGCTGGAATTTCCCCCCTCCCTCTGCTGTAAATGCAGAACAACCACCTGGAAGTCAGTGACGCTTCTCCCAGGGCTGCCCTAGGGTAACGGGCCCATTGATACTCTGCCGCAGCGAGAGCCAAGGAGCTGCAGAATTGTGTGGTCCGATTGTCACCCCACAATGTGCGTGGGGATCCCGCAGCAGCTGGGGCACCGTTTCCCCCTCTTCTGCCTGGTCAGTGAGGACTGAGCGAGGCTGGGCCTTGCCTTCCGGCTGGCTCTGTGGCTCTATACACCAAGAGGATGTTTCGCTGCCAAGCTGGACCAATTTTCTTGTGGGCCCCAGGCTTTGCCCTCCTGGCAGTTGAATCAGAGACACAAGCCGCCTGCATGTCCCCCCCAAGAAACGTGCAGGAATGAGCCTGGGTTACGGGTGGTCTCCACAGGCCGTTCTGCAGAGGCTGGGCCAGAGGGAGGGAGGGGGAATCCTTGCTGAGATCTCCTGCGAGGATAACTTGCTTTTTTAAAATAAAACCCGATGTAAGAGGAATTTGAGACAAGGGAGGGGAAGGATTGATTCAAGTCCCATGCTAATAGCGTTCATTGCAGAGTGGCTTTCATGCCCCTATGGATTCTGATTGCTTGTATAGCAGCATATGAGAGAGATGATCTGATTATTATGTAACTTTGTTTTCCTCTTGCATATGCCCTTCAACTTGTATTTTAAAACTAAAAGTTTATACATGCTGAAGCTAATCTCATTGCAGTTTTCCCCTGCATCTCGTATTTATTTTTGTTTGTGTTGTACTAGCAGCCCCAGTCACGGACCAAGACCGCAGGGCGCTAGGCGCTGTACAAACACAGAACAAAAATACAGTCACTTCCCCAAAGAGCTGACAATCTAAGTATCAAATGAGACAACAGGTGGAGATGGACAAATGAGGGCACACAAGGACACAAATACCTTGCAGCGTCAACATTTAAAACAATTTTATTGTAACACTAGGACCCAGCATTTCAAAGTTTTGGCCCAAGCGTGGGGGCATGGGGCCATCATTTGAGCTCCCCGCCTCAGGTGCCAAAATGTTGTGGGCCAGCCCTGGCACACATTATTATTGAGGGTTATCAAGTGCTAATTAACTTAGTTGATCTGAATGGCTGTGTTCACCGTGATGCAGTGGTGAGCTCAAGTCCGACCTGTCCTGGCCAGTTTATCCCTGGTGTAACAGTGCTCACTTTAAGGGACTTACAGCAGGGGCATGTCACTTACAGAGCTGAATTGGTCCCGTAACTGGGGAAACAAAGTATCTGAACTGCAAAGAGATAATGAACAAATTCCCTGCTGTTACATCCTATCAGTAACCAAACAGCCACCCTGAAAATAGCAGTTCTCTGCCCCTCTCCTTTCACTGGAGGAGGGTCTGTTTGCATTGAGATAGCACCTAGGAACACCAGGGATGAACCAGGACCCAGTAGGTGCTGTACTCCCATAGGAAAAGACCCTCCCAGTCCCAGAAACTTCCAGTCTCACTGTGTTCTGCACAATCTAATGATTCGCATTTCACAGCCGGGGATGCTGATGCAAGGTCTTCAATGCAATGGTGCATTCCTGCTACTCCACTCCAGTGAGAGCAACCATCTTGCGAAACACCTCTGGAGCCAGGCAGAGTGACCGGCTTAGCAGCTGATGGGTCATTGGGATCCGGTTACAGCGGGAGTTACCACTGTGTTACTAGCTTGAGCATCTACAGCACTGGACCTTCAACCCCTACCCCCTACAAGTAGGCTAGTTGAAGTTTAAAGTGCCACTTAAATGGGGCTTGAGATTTTTGTGTGGGGCTAGGAGTTGGACTAGGGTAGTATTCGAGCTGTATCTTGAGCAAATGCAGAAGCTGAAGCAAAGCGTTTCTCTTCAGTTTATTACAGTAGCATGTAAGAATCCCAGTCAGGGCCCTGTGACGATGCACGGACAAAGACTTTCAATAAGCCAAACGTGGGGTTAGTGCCGCCAAATTCAGGAACATCCTTTCTGGATTATGAAAATCTTGAACTCCCTGTTTTTTACAGAACTTCAATTTTACCAGATCACTCAGATCTTGGACACAGTCACACTTAAATTAAACTCTTCTGGGGAGAGTCAGAGAGATCAAACTGCACATAGCAGCTGTGAGTGACCTCTCTTAATACCCAACTGCAGTGATGAGGGTCAGATAAGAACTCCCATAGGGCAGAATCTCTAACTCCCGGTCTTGTGCTTTCACCCTATGTCTGTCCTTCCTCTGGCTAGCAAAGGAAGCTGCCTTTAGCTAGAAAATGGACTTTGTATGAAGACTAGTGGATCACGGAAGAAAAGGCCAAGTGTTTAATTCTTACACCCTACCTCCATTAAAGAGAGAGTTAACCCTACAGCCACGATGAAAAAGGTGTGGAAAATGGGTAAGGAAGGTTGTGTTGGATCAACCAGCATTTATTCCAAAGGGTGATGTGCTTTACCTGAGATAATCGCCCATGTTTCTTTGGAGCAAATATTGCCATCCGTTTCACTGTGTGCAGAAATGTCCATTTCTCTTCCCTTTGGAAAAATCCCCCACTCCTGAGAAAACGATTGTTGAATCCCATAGGCAGTGGGACAGCAAGGGAGGGTCAACACAAAGGTTGATGTCATGAGGGAAATTGCAGCTGTTTCTCCATTGGCTCATTGCTGCTACCGACCTTTTTGCTAATTGCAGAACAAACCCTGTTTACTTTTCCACAGGTGCGAGTGCTTTGTTGTTGTTTTTTAAATTGCCAAGGGCCTTTTATAGCAGCCAGCAGTCAAGGTATAGCACAACCCATCCTCTGAATGCCCAAACTCTGTTGTGTTGGGTGGAGATGGTGCAGAGAATAAAGTGAACTGTCAAGCTGTAAGTCCCCTGTTATGATAATTGGGTCTACAAATTTACCTTATCTGTAAGATCAATTGGAAAAAGTATATGAAAGTTCATCAGCTGTTACAATAACCTCTAACAACAGATGGTGATGGAAAAGAGGTCAAGTTGTTTTTCATAATAAATGTAATAAACAGATGCAAGAGAATTAGTGCAGGCAAAAAACCAGCCCTGCTGATATTCTTCAATGAGTCGGTTGAAATCGTGCTTGGTAAAAACAGAAGACTTGGGACTGGAAATTAATGAACCAGAATTAGTGTGTTGGATATTAGGCCTAATGGGTGGACAAAATCGTGAGGGGATGGGCTGTTCCACACACTGCGTGCTTAAAGAAAAGATGGAAGTTAACCGAGGTCGGCACGGCACGGCCCCCAGGGTTAACGGTTAAGGTCCAGTTAAGCCTAATGTTTACAGGATAAACTTTGACATCCCTCATGTGGGACGCAGGATCAGGGTGGTCAGTGCAAACTGCAATGTTGAATTGGTGGATGGAGATGGCTGAAAATGAGGCCCAAATAGCCAGTGCTCTGGGTTCAGGGGGAAACCCTTTTTTCATGTGGATGTCTATTTCCTCAAAGGGGCCTTCTGAAAGCTACTGCCCGTCCTGGCTGTTGTGGTTGGTTTAATGGAGCTCCCTTGACAGCTCGTGGGGGCAATGGATGGGGGCTCAGGAACCCTGGATTCTATGTTCCTAGCTCTGCCACTGATTTGCCTTGTGACCCTCGGCACATCCCTTCTCCTCCCACCTTGTGTCGGGCTGGTCTATTTAGACTGTACGCTCTGCAGGGCCTGTCGCTCACTAGGTTTATGTGTAGCACCCAGCACCGTGGAGGGGGCTTCCAGCTGCTGCAGTGATTCACATCACGCATCAGGTCTATCTGAGCTGCAACCCACTCTCCCTCCCTTCATCAGATCCCTGTTCGCAGCATCACCAGGTACGGGAGCAGCAGCAGGGGGTTAGCTGGGCGTTTACACTTCGATTCCTAGTAAAGGGTCAGCATTGACTGGAACTAGGACCATAGGCGCCAACTTCTCCTGGCAGCAGTGGGGTGCTCGACACACCCCCCCCGGCTCCTCCCCAACTCTGCCCCTGCCCCCATTCCAACCCCTTCCCCAAAGTCCCCACCCCAACTCTGCCCCCTCCCTGCCCCTATTGGATCCCTTCCCCAAATCCTGCCCCAGCCCCACCTCTTCCCCGCCTCCTCCCCTAAGCGTGCCGAAGTTCTGCTCCTCCCCGCTCCCTCCC